TCTTGGGGACTGGAGTTACATGGCTGTGATGAGGTGGAAAACTCCCTTTGGGAGGACTGCTGATCTTAGTAGGTGGGAACCTGGCCAAGTGTGCTCTTGGGCACACTATACCCCAAGGAGACCTGAGACCCTTTTGTACTTGGGGACTTCTGTCTGACTTGGGATCTTCCAAGTCTGAAGGCACCAGCAGCAGTTTTGTGTCCCCTCTGCACATGAAACTTATGTCCTAATATGTGTGATCAGGACCTGCCTCTTGGGGCCAGAAGACCATCTGAATATGGTATTTATATTTCATTTCTGTATCCTTGAGGAATTTGGTACATGTGGCAGCTTGGATGAAAATGGCCCTCATGGGCTCATAGGGAGTGGCACAGTTAGGAGGTGTGGCTTTTTTGGAATAAGTGTGTCATTGGGGGTGGGCTTTGAGGTTTCAGATGCTCAAGCTAGGCCCAGTATCACTTTCTCTTCCTGCTGCTGCTGATCCAGATGTAGAGCGCTTAGCTACTTCTCCAGCACATCTGCCTGCATGCCTCCATGCTTCCCACTATGATGATAATGGACTAAACCTCCAAACTGTAAGCCAGTTCCAATGAAATGTTTTCCTTTATAAGAGTTACTATGGTCATGGTGTCTTTTCACAGCAATAAAACTAAGACAACACAGGTCTTAGTCCACAGAGCATACTTATAAAGTATTGTTTAATCAATAAATGAATTGTGTAAGTATTGGCTATATTTTTTTAAGTCGGTGGGCAAGGTGGTGGCCTGAAGCATTTTGGAAATTTTCCTTCCATCTACAAACAAGTATCATGGGTAAAATTTAACATGAAAAAGAACAAAGGAAAGCAAGAAGAAGCCTCTAGTTCAATTGAGGAGCAGGAGATGGTGCTAATAAAATGCCCACAAGGGTGGCATACAAAAGAAGACAGCTTGCTGAGTCAGCAAGAGGCTCCTGCAGATGTCAGAGTTCTAATCATGTAAGATGATAAAAACTGCACTCCCAGGCCTGGGGTTTTGCCCCAAGGTATGAGTCTTAACCTCTGCCAGGAATAAAATGGGAAACTCAATTCTAAAAAGCCAACTTTAAAGTGGTTAGGATTCCATCTTTCGTTCTCCAGGCTATGGTGAAGATGGGGAGAGAACTCCAAAACCCTGCTTCTATCTGGGACTCTCAAGGGCTGCAGCTTACAGTAAAGAAACTGCACAGCATGCCAGGGATGCATCATCACGACAAAGACAGCAAGCGTAAGGCACTTGTGGAAACACAGACACAACAGCAATCCGAAGAACAAGTGTGATTGTGTCAGAGTCAGAAGAACGGCTTCTGGATCTCCGTGGACACCAACATCCACAGCTGCTCAACCTTTGTATACATTGGTGCTGTGTTTGCACAGAATCTTCACACATCCCACACTTTAAATCATCTCCCCAGAGCTTATAACACTTAGCATAGCGTCAACGCTGCATGCATGGCTGGAACACGACGTTGTACAGGAACAGCGACTGCACAGAACTAGGTTGGGCAAAGACACAGCCTTTTCTGGCACTATTGGTCTCCATTGATTGAATATGGCATAGAGAGGCCTTGTTTAACAGAAGACTGACTGTATAAAACCAGAGAGGACTGGATGGAGCACAAGACAGAGCAGGATGGAATAAGAACTAAACGAAAGTTGTAGAGACAGGAAATCGGGCGGCCATTGCACAGAAGCGGCAGAGTTTCGATTGCAGCTGGGGACAATCTCGTTCAGCTCGGTTCTTGATCTGTGATTTTAATAAAGCCACCAGACCCTTAGCTGACAAGGTTCCAACTCCAGGGCATCCTTAATTAGCACCAGAGTGGAAGGTGCTTTAAAAACTAGAACAGGAAGTCAGGCCATTGCAAATGGCTTCATGCTGCCCCCAAGACATATCTTCAGAGCAATTGGAGCATGTTAGCACGGTGTCACCTCTGAGGGCACCTATGCTTGGAGTGTGGTCCCTTCCTCCCATCTGTACCCCCTTGATGCAGCTTTACCCCCAGGGACATCTGAACACCTGGGATGTAGCAGCAGAGGGGGTGGGTAGCTCGCAGTCTTTCCACTGTGGTTTGAATGAGACATGTCCCCACAGGCTCATATGTTGGGGTCTGAGTTGCTAGATGATGAGCTTTGGGGAAATGCTGGGATCTTGAGAGCTCTGACACGATCACTATACTCAACCTCTTGATGGATTCACAGTACGGTGGCATTATTGAGGGGTGATGGAAGGGAGGTGGTGGGGCCTGACTTGCCGAAACAGGACACTGGAGCACGCGCTTGTGAGCTGTAGTCGACTCTGGTTCTTTTACCCTCCTTTCTCTCTGCCTCGTGGCGATCACATGGTGGGAGGTTTTTGCTATACGCTGTTGTCGCCCAGAATCAGTGGACCCAAGGACTATGACAGAAACATCTGAAACCACGATCTGAAATAACCCTCTCCAGAAACATCTGAAACCACGATCCGAAATAACCCTTTCCACACAGAGCCTGACCACTACACCCTCCCAGCTGGTAAAACATTCTGTGGCTGTTTGGTGGGGGATGTGAGCAGTGGGGGAACCCAAGGAGGACTGTTCATCTTACCAGAGCCAAATGTGTGGCACTGGGCTGTGAACGTGGGTTTCAGTCCTGTCTGTTACATACTGGGTCCTGCTAGCACACATTTCTCTGGCCTGGCTTTCTTGTCTGTGATACAATAAGAATGACCTTCACGTTGGGTTTGAGCTCCCAGCAATAGCGTGGAAAAAGTACCTGGTATCAGGTGAAGCTTAGTGGCTGTGGCGATTCTGCCTCTTTCTCGTCCCTTTCTTCGCAGACGGAAAACTTTGGCATAAGCCAGTCCACAGCCTGCTAGCCTTGGCTACAGAAGGTGAGCAGCGAAGTCCTGCCCCCTGAGCCATTCATTCACCTGGTCATCGTGTGACCCTCACCCTCTGGTTCTTGATTTCCTCCTTCCAGACTCTAGGCTGTCTGGCCTTTCCTCTTCTCTCCAGCTTCATCCCTCCAGATGTGTGGTGTTTCATCTGAGGCTTACACAGCAGCTATTTCCTCTTCACGAAGAATGGAGCTCTGATGGCATTTGGGGCTCATCAGAACCATCAGACACCACTGTGGGTGGCAGCAGAAAATGACACAGTTCTGCCTAGTGAGATCCAGGTTCAAGTTCTGAAGGGGAACATGAAGGCACAGGCTCCCTGGGAGAGAGCATCTCCCTCCTCCGGCGTTGCCTGTTCTTGTGCCTGCATGGTGAATTCAAGGCCTGTAGGCTCTGTGGCCGCCTTGTGATCAGCGCACAGCGTCGAACAGCACACAGGTAGAGTAGAAAGGAGAACCCTGCTGTGGGGCAGGCCGACCTTCCCTTCCTGCTTTCTGGCTGCACAACCTCAGGGATGTTTAACTCCTCACAGCCTCTCTTTCCTTCCCATGGTCTGTAAAAGGAGGACTGAGATCTGTACCATGCACAGCAGCTTTGAGGCTCAAATGCTGTGACGCGCAGGAATCCACCTTCTCTACTGTGCGCACACCTCATACCGTAGTTGTCTTAAAGCAGAAATAAGTAATTGTGACTTTAAGGCAAAATGAAGGCGACCATTTGTTTCTCCTCATAGACATGGCCCTTATGTCAACCGGCTCAGATCTGTAGCCCATCAGCTATGCAAACAGGAAGCAACTATCCAAACATTTGGAGCTGCAAGGGGCTGGCCTGGGTCAGCCTCTCCCGGCTGTGAGTGCCTCAGAAGTCAAGGGTGAGGTGCCTCCTCAGAGGGCATTAGTTCAAAGCCACCTCTTGGGCTGCCCCCACCCCCCCACCCCGCTGCCCCAGCCTGGCTCAGATCACCCTCTCTCAGGGGAGAACTGTCCTCACTGGCTCCTCTAGGCCTGTCTCCTGTTCTTTGTCCCTCCTCTCTGCCCTGTCACAGCTGAAACGGGGTCGTTTTTGTTTTGTTTTTGTTTTCTTTCTGAAATGCAATCTGCTTGAGCCACCCTGGCTTGAAACATTTCCACACTCTCTAAGGAGAAGATCAAGGTTATGTTCCTTCTAGGCTCCAGATGCCGGGCCTTTCCCGGGCTTCTCCAGCTATATTTCCCCAGCTATACTGACTTCCATTTAGTTTTTGGAATGTGCTATGGTGGTTCTGAGCTTTGCCCATACTGTTCCCATTTTCTCAGTTTTTTGCTCCCACTTCTGGGGCAGGGAACGGGCTAAGCCTGCAGCGGGAACACAGCTGCTCTGTGCTCTAGCAGTCCCTAGAATGCCTCACATTGTCCCCTGTGGAGGGCTCCTGATCCCTGATCGCAGCTCATGACAGGGCTTTTGGTCTGTCCTGCTCAGAGTCACACCCCTCACCAGGTAGGCAGTGGCCCAGGGAAGGTCTCAGAGGCTGTGCAGGTCAGGGAGAGCACCCAGCACAGCCAGGCAGAGTCTCACAGCCGTTCTATTCTGCAGAGTCCAGTCTGCTCCACCCACGAGCAACAGCCTGGGGGAAAGCTGGTGACTTGCCAAAGTCACACATCTGTCAGCCGTCTTGCCAGAATCAGTGCCTTCTCCCGAGCCTAGCTTCCTGCCCTGGTCCAGACAGCACAAAAGGTCACTCTAAACCTGTTTCCTATCTGAAGAATGGGGTCACAACAGGCCCCTCTTCTCTTGGCTGTCCTAGGATTAAGGGCTTTGCTCAGGGCCCCGTACACAGCATACAGTCAGTGACAATCAGGATCAAATTGAAGAGCTAAGAATGAGTATCTCTGATTGCAATCTGTGAGTAGCAAGTAAAAGGATTTCATGGATGAATAGGAGGGTGAACGGATAGAGGATGGACCAATGGACGGTAATGGAGTCCACAATGACGTAAGAAATGGAAGAACCTATGCATGAATGTCAGAAGACAGAAATGGACACGAGAGCGCTTGGCGGAGTTGCCCACCTAGGTTTAGAGAACAGGTCCCGCACGGTCTGTTCCGCGCCAATTGCTGCTCTGCTCACCTGTAACGTCTGAGCTCCGCCTCCAGCCGCTGCACCTGGCGCTGCATGCGGGGAACGCGCCGCGCCAGCGCCTCCAGCTCCCGCACTCGGTGCAAGCTGCGCCGCACCGCCTGGCGGGCCTCCTCGGTCCGCAGCCGCACCTCCACCTGACCGCGCTGCAGCCGCCGGGCGCGCGCCTCTGCTTCTGCCAGCGCTCCCTGCGCGCGCTGCAGTTTGTGTGCCGCTGCTTCCGGGATGTCCGACTGGCTCTTCCAGAGGCCGACCTGCCCGCGGGGAGCAAGAGTGAATGCCCACTCCAGGAGCCCATGGGACCTCCCCTTACACCACAGAGCTCTCTCACTGACAGGGACACGAGCAAGTAATGCACGTGTGTGCACCACCCCCCCCTCCCCGAAAGCTGGGATAGGAAGTTCACAATCTGTTCTTTGTATGGTGACAGTAATCCCCCAAAGTCGTGACTACTCGGCCTAACTCCTGCATCCAACGTATGCAGCTCCTACTTCTGTGGACTCAAGGCACAGTCTAACATCCGACGGGTGTTTCTGCCCTTCCTGAGATCTGTGTACTAGGTCTGTTTTGTTTACTGCAGTGTTCAGAAGCATAGAGGGAGCTGGCACAATGTACCTAGAAGACTGAGCGTGAAGGATGGACAGTCCCTTTTAGTCAGTTTCAGGCACCCCACACATGACTGCGCCCTTCGAGGGTTCCCTCTGCCCGGTATAAAGCTTCCATGCCACACATACGAACCACAGAGGCCAACTTGGCAGTTTTTTTAAAAAAAATATTTTATTTTATTTTTTTTTTGGTCTTCTTCCCATAAGGGACTTTTTCTCCCTTGGCCAACCACCTGCACTGCACTCAACACCGACTTGTGCACAGGGCTTAAGCGTTGGTGGACTGATCCCACAGGCCAGGCTAACTCTGCAGTTAGCTCAATGCCTCCACCTCAGTAGCTCTGAGTGGGCCTGGCCCTCAGTGCTAGCCATGCTGTGTTGTGTCTGAGGCCTGGTGCTGAGAGATTCCACAGGTTTCACTGAGTTGGGGAAGGGAGGTCCTCTTCTCTGTTTCCCCTAAACCTCCCAGGAGAAGAATGCTTGCTGACTCGTCATTATGTGACTGCCTAGACAGGTTCCTTCTTGGGTTTAGAAGGGACAGGCTGTGAAGCTGAAGTTTTAAGGAATGATAAACTGGGGTGCAAGTTGGAATGAGGGGGTGGAGTGGGGAACGGAGAGGGCCAGTCGAGGAGGGAGTGGGCCAAGGTGGGGTGCCCCTGTCTCCACCCCAGGCATCCCGCGCACCTGCAGGGCCAGGCAACGCGCGTCACTGCTCTGCAGCGCAGCGCGGAGGTCCTCCACCAGCTCGCGGAGGCTGCTGTTTTCCTCCTCCAGATGCGCCACAAGGTCTCCACTGGCGCCGCCCTGCAGGCTCGGCGAGCCAGGCCGGCGGCGGCGGCGACGCGGGCGGCGGAGGCGGATCTGCGTCTCGATGTGCTCGCTGAGAGCTCCGCGGGGCAGCCGGGGCCCCGCTCGGGTACTGAAGTAGCCGCAGAGGCGTGCGTGGAACTGGCGGAAAGTGAGTTCGGGAGGGTCGGCGCCCAGAGCCAGGCGCGCCTCTTCCCTGACGTCCGCGTCCCCACCGGCAACTATCCCTGCAGCCGAGTCCTTAGCGGCCGCCTCCGCGGAGTTTTCATCCTCGGTGGTGGCCTCCCCGTCGGCGTTCAGCCCCAGGACAGCACACAGCGCGCGGAAGTCGGCGCGCGGTAGGCGCCCGGCGCCCCGGCAGTCCAAATGGTGGAAGACCTCCTGCAGATACTGGTCCAGACCGGTAGCCAGTACCACGATCTCGTTCTCCACGCCGCGGTCTAGCCCGTAGTGGTGAGCCAAAGCGCTTAGCAGCCACTGCGTGCGCCGCGCGGGTCGCCGGTACGGGTCGCCCGCCGCGCCCTCCATGCCCAGACCCAGGCGACTCTTTTGGGGCCCAGCGGCGCCTTCAGACAGCCGCCGGCGAACGCGGAGGGAGGGGCCGGGCGGCCACCGCCAGGCTGGAGAGGCGCGGGACCCTATCCAGGCAGCTGCGTGGGCCGTGCAGGGCATCTGTGTTTGTCTCGGTTGGGGGCGCTGGAGCAGCGTGCTCTCACTCTGGGGCTGTAACGGCCTTGACCCGTGCTCCCCATCGCTCCCCATAACTCCCCATTCGCATCCCCATCGCTGTTACCAGTCGCTGGGTCAGTTCTTTTGGTGTCTCCAGGCCCTCTCCAGGCCAGAGGTGGGAGAGCTTCCGCCAACAGTTGTGCTCTCCCGCACTTCGCAGTCCTTGCCCCGGCAACCCGCCTGGCGTCCTCTGCCCCTGGGAGTGGAGAGGCCTCATCTCCGGACAGCTTCCTAAACTCGCCCCCACCCCCATCTAACTAGGACCCAGGAGGAAACAAACTTGAAAGTAGATCAAGTTAGGGTTTTGGTGAGAGGAAAGTGGTGTCTACCGCCGCCACCTTTTAATATGTTACAGTTGCCAAACCACAACTACAACTAGTGCTTCAGCATCCCCCCCCCCACTTTGAGTCCACCCCAGTACTGCGCATTCCCTGGCCGTCATCCCCCCCCCCCGAGTCCACCCCAGTACTGCTCATTCTCTGGCTGTCATCCCCCCCCCCCAGTCCACCCCAGTACTGCGCATTCCCTGGCCGTCATCCCCCCCACTCGAGTCCACCCCAGTACTGCTCATTCTCTGGTCGTCACCTCCCCCCTCCCGCAGTCCACCCCAGTACTGCGCATTCTCTGGCCGTCATCATACCCCCTCCTCCCCAGTCCACCCCAGTACTGCGTGCGCATTCTCTGGCCGTCGTCCTTCAGTCACTGGCGACCACTGCGCTCTGAGCCCACTATTTATCTCTTCCAGACACTCTCATATCTGGAATCATACAGAAGGTGGCCTTCTGGGGCCAGAGAGATGGCTCAGTGGTTAAGAGCCCTGGTTGTTTTTCCAGAGGACCTGGGTTCAGCTCTCAGCATTCACAAGGTGGCTCCCAACCATCTGTAATTCCAGTCCCAGAGGATCTGAAACCCTCTTCTGGCCACCGTGAGCACTGCCTGCATACGGCACACAGACAAAGCACACACAAGCAAAACACCCATACACATAAAATTTAAAAAGTTAAAGGTGGTCTTCTGTGGAGCGGGCTTTTCGGAGGCGTACTAACATGTTTGTGTTGTACCGTGTACTGGTACTCTAATTCTCTTTTAGTGCCGAATGATGCTCCACTGTGTGGATAGAGCACATTTGCCTTATTCATTCCTCAGCTCACAGGTGTTGGGGTGTGTTGTGAGCGGTCCTGCAATGGATTTCTTCTTTTTAGTATGAGTTCACATAATTTACTCTCTTTTGGGCATATACTGGAGAGTGGGTTGGTTGCTGTGCTGGTTTATTTTGTCGACTTGACAAAGCTGGGATCACCTAGGAAGAGGGAATGTTGACCGAGGAACTGTCTCTATCAGACTGGACTGTGGACAAGTCTGTGGGGCATTCCTTTTGTTAATGATCGATACAAGGGGCCCATTGCACCGTTTGTGGTGCCACCCCTGGGCAGACTGAACAAGCCGTGTAGAACAAGCCAGTGGGCACCATTTCTCCATGGCCTCTGCTTCTGTTCCGGCCTTGGACTGGCTCAGTGTCGGCTGTATGGCAAACAAACCCTTTCTTCCCCACGTCGCCTTTGGTCTCATCATTTATCACAGTATTGGGCAGCAAATTAGGCCAGTTGGGCCCTGCGGCGGTTTGAGGTCTTCTTGAGAATGGCCCATCTCTTTTCCAAAGAGGCCTCCCTGTTTTCCCCGACACTGACAGTCACACCACGAGATTTCCAGTGTGTTGAGCGACACAGAGATTGTCAGCCTGAACTTTCTCCGCATCGGTTTCTGGTGTCAACCTCTTTCTTCAGGCCCGTGCCCGTCAGCTTCCCATCACTGTCACAGGTACCCCAGGAGTTTAGAGAGGTCCCTCTCTCGGAGGAGGAGAGGGGCACTTTGGCTCACGGTTTGCTTTGGGGCTTGTGGTAACACACACACACACACACACACACACACACACACTCGTGGTGGAGTTACAATGTCATATGCTTCAGGGGTGGGAAGAAAAAGAGGGAAAGGACGGAGCTGGGATTCCACTGTTCTCCTCAAGGATGCGACCCAAGTGGAATACTACTGGGCCTCATTGTTTGAATTTTTTACCACCTCCAAATAGCAGCACTCCAGGGACTGAGGTTTTCACACACAGAACTTTGGAAGTCATTGTAGGTCTGGACCATAAAAAGGCACCCCTTACCCTTGCCCTAGATCCAGTTGTAAGGGTGCTCGGTGGCCCCACCTTTGAAACATGTCCTGAACCTGCCTCCCCGCTAATGCAGTGCGATCACTCCAAGCCAAGCTCTTAGCATCTCTCCCCTGTGTGCCTGCATCACCGAGGACTTGAAATATATATATATATATATATATATATATATATATATATTCATGCCCTTGAACTCCTTGAGGAATGCTATTAAATCTTAAGTCATACCATGACCCTCCTCTGCTCAGAACTCACTAGTTCCTTCCCAGGGGGAGAAAAGGCAATGCCATCTTCTTGACCCTAAGGATGGCAGGTCAGAACCTATTGTCCCACTTTAATGGCTACCATTAGTACTTCCCTTGTAACCTCTTTCTGCTCTTTAATGGGCTCCTGCCTCGGGCCTTGGCATCTGTCCAGCCCTGCACAGCTCCCATCCCTTATCTACTTTGAACCTATCGGCCCTGGCAGATTACATCTTCCTCAGTGGATCATTTGCTTCCTGCATGAAGCCCCAGACCGTGTGGGAGGAGCGCCGCCTGATCGGCTTACCTGAAATAGTATTAACACACCAGAAGAAACTGATGCACGGCTTCTGTTTTAGCTGCCTCCCCATGGTTGCAACAGCAAATGGCATCATGGCATGTTGCTTTCTATGTATTTGTGTGTGTGTGTGTGTGTGTGTTCACAAACGATATATGTCTTTTATTGGCACATGAGTTTTAAAGCAACCCTTATACCACATCGTGTGTGAGCCTCACACATGGCCTGAGCCACTCTGGACTGGAGACCTGGTGCTCCCATGACCATCACAAAGTAGCACTTGATTGTTCGGCTTTGCACGCGCATACTTGTGTGAATATGAACTCACAGCTCCAAATGGGAAAACTGCCTCTCGCAGGCATCTGTGGGGTTTGTGTGTTTTCTGGCCCCATTATGTTGGAGCCCCCATGGCGCCAGATGTTGGGAGTGAAAAGTACTTCCTGTGGGACCCGCAAGTCCTGGCCTGGAGCTTAATCTGGGTCCCGAAAGCAAGTGGCTGGGGACTCCTGTCTTTGCAGATGAGCCTGGTGTTGTTGACTGCCCTGGTGAAGGACTCCCTCAAACTGTGGCTTTCCTGGGCCAGTCAGTACTGAAAACAAAGCTTTTCAGTGTCTTCCCTTGGAGCTGTTGCTCAGCCTCCCGCGGCTTAGTGGGGGAGGGATTTATAATGGCGTGCTGTTAGGTCTGTCTATCCGTGGGCTGTGTTACTAGGCACCCCTGAAACAATCCCACTTGGACCCAGAAGGCTTTTGTTGGAGGTTCAAAGGCGTGCAAACTCCGAAGGTTTGTGGTCCCTTTGTACGTGCTGGGGGGTGGGATGTCTGTGGCGAAGAACTGAAGTCCCGTCAAAGAAGTCACTTTTGAAGTCACTTCAGTATTGTTTGAGCTGCTTCCAATGGTGTACTGCTCAAAGAGTCGTTACAAAGTCTAGAAATATACTAAGAAGCAAAAGTCACCCGAGATCCTGCCACCACCTAATCCACAGTGTATCCGTGATGTATTTATTCTAGACTACTCCTTGAATTGTGACATGAAAGAATTTTTGGGGGGGTTATTAGAACTGCTTTGTGGTGGGGCTCACAACACATCTTTCAGGATCTTCTAAAAGGGTAAAGTTAGCATTTTGTAAATAAAGAGGCCAGCAATTTGCTCATGAATCTGTGATACCGGGAGGGCTTGGTGGAGACAATTCCGCGCTATGTAGTGGCAGCCACTATGCTTATAGGCCTGGGGGCTGATGATGGCAGTTGGGTGGGAGCTGTCAGAACAGCTCCATGCAATCCTTGTGTCCTTGTGTGGCCGTCTGTATTTGTTGACAATATGGAGGCTATATTTGTGGATAAGGCCCCAGATAAGACAGAAACAGAGTTTGCAGGAGCTAACTTCACATAGTATTGCTTCCCACAAACTTTATTGAATGGGGTGGTCTTACGTTGTTTGTCTGACCCACCGATGGGAGGAGTGTTGACCACACAAAGGAAGAAGAGCACTGGGAGGGTGTTGGAGAGGAGGCTTAGCTCAGAAAACACAGTGGCACTGGTCCCTAAGCCCTGTTCTTGGAGAATTATCCCTGAAGGCCTGGAGAGAAGCCTCAGAATATCATTAGCATATTATTCTTATTAACATGTTGCTGCTAGCATTACTGTTAGGCTGGGAACTTATCAAGGGCCTGGCACATACTGGGCAAGCTCTTCACTATTGAGCTTTATGTTCTTACTTTTTATTTTGAGACAGTCTCCCTAAACTGCCCAGACTGGTCTTGAATTTATGTTGTGGCCCAAGATAGTGTCGAACTTGTGGTTCTCTTGCCTTGGTCTTTTGAGTAGCTGGGATGACAGGCCTGTGCTACCCAGCCCGGCAAATCTCATTTTTGATGCATTCTGGGTAACACCAATGTGCATTTAGGGTAGGCTTTAGCTCTTTGGCCTAGAGCTTCGGCCTCTCACCCTGAGCCTGTAGAGTACGGCTGCTCCCCTAGGAAATGTGATCACAGGCACTTTGGACTCTTTTTTTTTAAAGATTTATTTATTTATTATGTACAGTGTTCTGTCTGCATGAATGCCTGCAGGGCAGAAGAGGGCACCAGATCTCATTACTGATGGTTGTGACCAGCCTGGTGTGGTTGCTGGGAACTAACTCAGGTCCTCTGGAAGAACAGCCAGTGCTCTTAACCACTGAGCCACCTCTCCAGCCCTGTACTTTGGACTCAGGTCCTCTGGAAGAACATCCAGTGCTCTTAACCACTGAGCCACCTCTCCAGCTCTGTACTTTGGACTCCTACCAGACCACCACGATCATGCCCCTTTTTCACATATTTTGCACACACACCCACACACCCTCACACCCCCCCCCCACACACTTTCTGGGAGTGACCTGCCCAGTTTGGCTGTGCCTTACTGCTGGGGTACCTCCACTTACCAGTAGCTGCTGGTATGAGGGAGTAAAGTCAGACTTCAAGTAGGTTTTAGTAATAGAGTAAAAACAAGCCATGTAAGGATGGAATATACGCAGAGTGTCTGGATTATGTATATTATTGTGTTTTCTTTGAAGTTTTTGACTGTGAAGGAGATAAGTAACTAACATCTATACTTTAAAGGTATCTTGACTTCAGAATTTGAGTCTAAGGATATGTTGCTTTGGAAAAAAGGTTCTTCTTTTGTTTCCACAGAGGATGAGAACTTGTGGAATCCTTCCAGACTAATATGGTTTGATGGACCAAGACCTCTTGAAAGATTGCCTTGAACACCCTCAAAAATTAAAATAAACAGCAGGAAGAAGTTTGGACAGAACTACACCCATATTCCCAAATACTGTTTATAAATATTCTTTTACATTTAAAGGGGATATGCTATAGAGAATAAATATTCTTTTACATTTAAAGGGGATATGCTATAGAGATTTCCATTGGTATGGATCTTGGTTTATTAATACAAATTTAAGATCAATTTTGTTATACTGTGTATATGTGTTTCTGCTCTTGATTAAGGTATTGTGCTTGTACAGCTCATTTAAAAATTTAATGTGGTGTAAAATGTATAATTTAAAAAATATAGGTATTATTGCCATCTATAATAGTCAAACTTGTAGACTTGTTAGTTAGGTTTTCTAGATATATAGAGATGTATTTCAGTTAGATGGGTATTCTTCAAATCTTTCAGAGACCTTCAGAATATGGCATTTAAAATGTTTTAAAAATTTAGGACTTTTCATGACAATGAGACACATCTGCTCCTTGCAGCACCAATTACTTCAAGAGGAAGATGGGCATTGAAGAGGCTCCCCATGGAGTTTGCTAGTCATTTGGGCAAGGGACTGTTTGATGAAATGGACATGCAGGACCCACAGAGAAATGACTGCTTCATAAAAGAGTCTGCCAGACATTCTGCAGGACACAGAAGAAAGTGACTGGAAAACTGCCAATATAGGTGGAACTGTCTTTGAAATTTCCTGCCTCATGGAAAAGTCTGTTGGATACTATGGGCCAGTAGGCTGAATATGTATGCCTCAGTGGTACAGAAGAACTTTGGGTGGCTTTCCAGGCAGCAAGATGTTTCTGTCATTTCTAGAGTTTTGGAAGTTGCTTACAATGAACTTCCTGTTTACCTAGGTAATATATCCTTCTGGAGTCTTTGATAGAGTTGAAGAATTTATAGTGATAATTATAGTTTTATTAGTTATGATAAAAGATAAAGTAGATATACATATTGTAACTATAATTCTTGCTTAATACCTGTTTTGTTATATGTAATTTTATTATGTTGAAGATAAAGCCTTCCTTTTCATTTAAACACAAAAGGGAGGTGATGTGGGATTTTCCTCTGTATGCTGTTATTACCATTAATGAATAAAAAAACTGCTTTGGACCTATAGCAGGGCAGAACTTAGGTAGGCAGGGAAAACTAACCTGAATTCTGGGAGAAAAAAAGGAGGTGGAGTTAGAGAGAAGCCATGGAGCCCCACCGGAGCCAGATGGAGCTTTAACAGGTAAGCTACAGCCACATGGCAATACACAGATTAATAGAAATGGGTTCAATTAATATGTAAGAGTTAGCCAATAAGAAGCTAGAGCTAATAGGGTCAAGCAGTGATTTAAATAATATATAGTTTCTGTGTGATTATTTTGGTTTCTGGGCAGCCGGGAAATAAACAAGCAGCCTCCTTCAATAGTGGACAATAAAATCTTAACACCCAGTAAGACTTGTTCCTGATTTTAAATAGGCTCTCTGCTATTTAATTCAGGAAGTAGATATTCGAAAGTATCCTGAGATGAAAAGAAAGGATAAATATGCTTAATTCTGATGCAGAGCTGAATTTACCAATTGGCTCATTATTATAAGGGCATATGGGTTCTTGGAAATGTGAGTCCTTCAGCCTCTGCACCAGTAGCATATGTATTTGTGCACTGTGCTGGCTGGTTTTGTGTATCAACTTGACACAAGCTAAAGTCATCAGAGAGGACATGCCTCCATGAGATCCAGCTGTAAGGCATTTTCTCAAGTAGTGATCAATGCAGGAGGTCCCAGTTCATGGTGGTGGTGCCATCCCTGGGCTGGTGGTCCCGGTTCTATAAGAAGGTAGGCTGAGCAAGCCAGGGGAAACAAGCCAGTAAGCAGCACCCCTCCATGGCCTCTGCATCAGCTCCTGTTGCTGGGATCCTGCCCTGTTTGAGTTCCTGTCCTGACTTCCTTCAGTGATGAACAGCAATGTTGAAGTGCAGGCCAAATAAGCCCTTTCCTGCTCAACTTGCTCTTTGGTTATGATGTTTCATTGCAGCACTAGAAACTATAACCAGATAAGCACTTTTATTAAGTAACTGCTTAAGTTAAATATCAAAGGACCCTTCGGTGGGAAATCAGTGTCAAAGTGGTTGGTGGACCCTGAGTGGGGATCCTTTGTCTGCTCCTGCGGTCGGTACTGCCAGCTGCTTTCGCTGCCTGCTGGTTTTAGGAGCTGCCGAATCTCAGTAGCTTTTAGTTCTTCCAGTACCGTATGTATTTTCAGCACGCCTTGGTTCACAGAGGCGAACTTCAGGATGCTGGAGCTGTGGGCAAGCAAATCGGCTTTCAGTGTGGACTCCCTTCCAGTTTTCCTCACGGTTCAGGTTTTATATTGATTTAACCCGAAGGTTCCATTCAGTATGCAGAATTCTGGAATGCACCATCTCATCTAGACAAGTGTGTTCCTGGAGACTTGGGACCTGGTTCCAGCTCCAATTCGACTGAAGTTCTGCTGTTTGACTTAAAGTAGGTCATAGTTCAACTTCAAACTTTTCTCGGCAACCCAATGTGTATGGGTGGAGCCTTGTGTCCCACTTTTTTTTTTTTTTAAAAAAAACCAACTAAATGTGATGAGTAGGAACACTCCCTCACTAGAAGACCTATCCCCTCCCCTTCTCCACCCCCCCCCGCCCCGCCCCGCCCCTTTGGGCTGTGTGCCAAGAGTCATCTCACTGCTCATCAGTTTTCTCTGAACTTGTCATGAGTCTTCACCCCTCTAGGCCTTGTCTCCGTCATTTCTTCTGCAAGGGTTTTCTTGCTTTCATTACTCTGCCTGCCTGACTTTTGTTACCTCTTGAAGTCCATCCCTGTCCTGTCTGACCAATCAATCCACCGTGGGTTGCTCCTCTTTGGCTCAGGCCATTTGGTGTGTTGTGGTCTTCCGGGTCAGGGCAGCAGTTAGGGTGCTTAGCCAAGGTGCTTCAGTGTGGGTGGGATTTACAGAGGAGCGCAGGTTTTGGTGGCCAGGAGTCTAGGTTTCAGGCCATGCTGTAACGTTTTTGCGGTGGGTGGAATGCTTTACCCTTCTAACCCCGTATTCTCATTTCAGGGAAACGGAATTTTCACGATATTTTTAGGACATCAGCCCCAGAAGCAGGAAATCTAACCAGAGGTTTTTTTTTTTGGGGTCTGAGTATGTTGAGACAGACCATCTCTTCTTTTACCTTTATTTAAGCGTGGGAGGCGAGAGTGGGTGGAGCTATCGAGAGAATCCAGCGGCCAGGCGCACAATAGGTGTGGAGTTCAGACAGTTTTCTTTTTCTTTTTTTCTTTCTTTCTTTTTTTAATATTGGGTAAATGGACGAAGGGGTGAAGGCAGCAGCTTTCCGAATCTGCCTTTCACCTTTTTGACTGGTCTGGTGCACCAAAGCCACGCAGAAGTCACGTGGCGAGAAGCCCCTCTTCGACTGCCAGCCTGTGAGCTCAAAGAAGGTTTCCAGAGCCTGCAGGCTGGAGCCGAACTCAGTCGGGGGAAGAAAGCCCCGCCCCCAGCCGTGGACTGTGGTCTCCTGGCAACCGCCTAACAAAAGTCCCTTAGGGATCTGCTACCCTTAGGCTCCTGCGCTCAGCTTCCCTGATCAGAGTGGCTGCAACTGCGCAGCAGGTGCAGGAACCAACAAGGTGCCTACTCACAGGTAACCCTTGAGCTTGGGTTCAGTCTCTATTTCACCTCAGATGCCCCAGGTCCCCCAGGCACCCACTTCCTGGCAGTCAGGGTCCTGTGGCTAGAAATCTGAGTGATACCTGAGCCGGAGTTCTCCGTGTCTTGCCTCAGGGCTTCTTGTTAGGGTCCTGTGTGTACCAGGGTGCCCGGCTCAGTTCCCCTTTCTGCGAGTGGCAGCTGTCTGTTCTGTGCTGGGGCCACATCCAGGACGCTGCCTCAGCCTCTTGAGAGGAGTCAGAGCTTCGGGTGACCCTCCTGGGTCAGCGGTGACTTAGGCTCACCTGGATCTGTATGTCCATAGCACCTACTGACCAACTCCTCACTCCTGAGAGAGGAGTAACTGGGCTCAGGTCAGAAGAACATCACTGATTGTCACTCTCTGGTTTTTTCACCCATTCCTGCTCCCCAAATGTGGAACTCACTGTATAGTGGGCCTCCACTGAAGCCTGGGGCATTGGAAACAAGACAGAGATGGGCCTGGGACTGTGTGGCTTCCTGCACTGGGCAGGTTTACTCTTGGGGTCTTTGCTGTCTCCCACCAGGACCTTCTAGTGCTGCACAACATGGCCCTGCAGGCCTGGGACTGGGAGGAAGAGGACAGAACAAGCGAGGGGCCCCTCTCCTCCATGGCTAGTGCTTACCAGTCAGCAAGCGAGTATGAGACGGAGGAGTACCTGAAATCCAGAACCCCAGCCCATGAGTGGGACTCTGAGGACCAGTTCAGCAGCCTGCACTCCTCGGAGGGGATGTCCTGCCCCTTTACCCCTGATGTCCCCCAGGTTGTCCCCTGCAGATTTGTCATCTCACTGGCCTTCCCTGCACTAACAGGTAGGTGCTGGGGAACTTTCCTTGTGCACAAGGCAGCAGGATGCTGCTGCTGGCTGCCTCTGGGGTTGAGGGCGCATAGCCCGCCTCCTTTCTCTCCACCCAGTCCCCTTTCACGGAGCGTGGCTGGCACCAACTGAGGCAGAGGTCAGAAAAAGAACAGAAGATTCAGGAGGGCCAGCTGTTGGCTAGGCATGAAAGCAATTGTGTGACTCACCAAGTACACCAAGAAGCAGGTCATATTCATATTCATATTCTCTCTCTCTCCTCCCTATCTCCTCTTCTTCCCAGCTGAACGACTTTGCAGAAGACTTGTTTTCCATAAACAGCTTGTTCATTACTCAATGCCTTTCTTAAGATACATCCCAGATTCATTGACCAAAGTCTATTGAGTCAAGAAGTGTATCAGTTTAGTAGAGTAGCAGACACAATAGGGGCCCACAGTTGTTCATTGCAAATGGGAGCCATTGTTTTCCTCATCCGGTTGCCAGTCTAGGTTGGGCTTGGACAGGTGACCTTCCTTCTTCTGTTCCATATGTCTTTAGTTGTACTTCTTGTAGATGGGCTAGCCCTGCCGCTTGCGTAGTCTGGACAAGCCTGTGCACACAGAGGGCTAACCTACTCTGTGATGGTTTATCTGATCGCCAACTTGATGGGAACTTCACCATGGAAGCAGACAGCTGGCTGTGTCTATGAGGGGGATTATCTGGGCTAGGTTAACCAGCTCTAAATGTGGGCCTCACTGTTCTGTGGGCCAGAGTCCAGAAGTAAGAAAGGGAAAGGGAGCCAAGCACCAGCATTCCTCCCTCTCTGCTTTCTGACTGTGGATACAATGTGGCCAACTACTACCTGCTCCCATGGTCATAACTCTCAGGGTCATGGTGGATCGTATCCTCTGGAACTGTGAGCCAAAAAAGACCTACTTCCCTAAGCTGCTTTGCTGGCATCTCACGTCAATGAGCTCAGTAACCAACACACAGACATGAGCTCAGTAACCAACACATAGGCCACAGTTCTTCAAGTCTCTGGCTGCCTCCTGCTATTTTCGTTCCTGTTAGAGCAATTCACACGGTTCAGCAGGGGCAGAAAACAGTGCTTTAGCTTGTGATTCTCCATCCTTTCCTCCTCTAAGTACCCCCATTTGATTGACTCTTCTCCTTGCAATTCTGTCTTGTTATAATTGCATTATCTGCTTGGGGATTCAAACCTTTGTCATTGTGTGGGGACCTCCTCTTTCCATAGGTGCTCTTTTTTTTCCCTTCTAAATCTTGGGCCTGTTGACGTCAAGCAAAACAAACAAACTGGAAAAATCATCTGTCTGAAACCAGCCAAATGAAAACCAGTGCTCAGCTGAGCAACCTTTGGCCTGCGTGTCCTTGCAGCACGTCGCGGACATGCTGTACCTATTTTCATCATTTTCACCCAAGGGGATTTGCAGAACACATCTTCCGAACCTCACAAGACCCTTGACACAACCCGAGCAGGGAAACATGTCTAGGTCCATTACTTCCTCCTTGTCTTAGTTTCTTTTTCTGTTGCTGTGATAACAATGCCCTGACAAATGCAACTTTTTTTTCTGACTCAGTTCTACAGCCCATCAAGGCTGCAAGCCCCAGTGTTGCGAGCTTGAGGGGCATTCACAGACAAGAGGCAGGGAGAGATGAGGAGTGCCCTGGCTCAGTCCCCTTTTCCATATCTATAGCCCAGCATCCCAGCCAGGGAATGGTGCCGCCCACAGTGAGTGTGTCTTTCCATTTCAATCACATGTCCAGAGGCTCATCTCCCAGGTGATTTCTTATAAATCTTACAGGTATTTATTATATTGAGCTACAGGATGTAGTCTGAGTAGCCCGACGATGGCTGTTTCATACTAGAGAGCCAAGAATCTGGTAGTTGTTCAGTTTCTAGGGCTGGGTGTCTGCACAGTCCTGATCTGATGTTGAAGGCCTGGGGGATTCCTGGAGAGCTGCTGGTCCTCAGTCTACTTTGGAGTTCTGAAGGCATTGGTTCTAATTTTGGAGAAGGAATGTCACAGCAACAGCACAGATGGACTCGCCAGGGGGAATGAGAGCAAGGTAGCAAGAAGCAAAGTTTTCTTCTCTGTCCTTTTATCTGGGCTGCCACCAGAAAGTATTGCCCAGATTTGGGACGCATTTTCCTGTTTCAAATAATCTGATCAAGAAAATGCTTTGAAGGGGTGGCCAGCATCTTGGGTTTTAGTTAATTCTAGAGGCAGTCAAGTTGATGATCAAGATTAGACATCACAACACCCTCAATATGGACACATATCTATCTATCTATCTATCTATCTATCTATCTATCTATCTATCTATCTAGTTTAGAAGTGAGATCCTGTAATCTTGGTTTACCACTTACATTTAAAAATGGATTCCTTAGACACTGTGACTGAATAAGTGCTCCATCCCTGAGCTACACTTTAGTCCTCTCCTACCCCTCACTGGTGGATACTTGACTTGCTTCCAGAGTTTTTCAGTTACTATTCTTCAAAAGACAGTCTCTCTCTCTCTCTCTCTCTCTCTCTCTCTCTCTCTCTCTCTCTCTTTCTCTGTGTGCACATGCTGTGTGCATGTGTGTCCATGTATATGTGGAAGCCAAAGGCCAGCCTTGCGTGTTGTTCCTCAGGATGTTTGCCTTATATTTTGAAACTCTCACTTGGCCTGAAACCTCGTGATTGAGATAGGCTGGCTGGAAGCCCAGCTCTTACCTTCCACTACTTCCCGATAACAACACTGACCAGGAGCACATGGACAGCTGGAGTCATTCCCAAACTACAGCCATGTTTCTTTCCTTTGGGGGAGCTTATCATTTCCCAAAGGTTAGAACAAGGCTCCTGAAACTTGTGTCTTCTAGGTCAAAAGGTAAAAGCTGCAGGTTTTGCAGAGAAAAAGAAAACCCCTAAACTAGGCAGCCGGGCTGCTGCCAAGGCTCGTCGGTTCTACCACATTGAGTATTTTTTCCTGCCCGATGATATAGAACCCAAAAAAGTTGATGTTGTGGTGTTTCCTGGCGTGGCCAAAGTGTTTCTGGAGTCAGGAATAAAGGTGGGTGGAGTTTGTGTGTGTGTGTATGTGTGTGGTGTGTGTATGTGTGTGTTTATGGTGTGTACATGTGTGTATATTTTCATGGAATGTCACACTGAGGATGCAGAGGATGCCCGGCTGACATGCAGCAGACCCAATATTGGAGCTTTCTAGATATGTGGGATTATGGGTAATCTCATGAGTGAGATGCAGAATGGACGGCTTCTTTAGATGGCTTTACCCTGTACTTTCTTGAATGTTTTATTTTATTTTTTTAAAGATTTTTTTTATTTATTATGTATACAACATTCCTCCCATGTATGCTTGCATGCCAGAAGAGGGCACCAGATCTCATTACAGATGGTTGTGAGCCACCATGTGGTTGCTGGGAATTGAACTCAGGACCTCTGGAAGAGCAGTCAGTGCGCTTAACCTCCGAGCCATCTCTCCAGCCCTTTTATTTTATTTTTTAAGTACTGAGCATTCTTAGTATGTGTATATATACACATGTGTGAGAATGTTCATGTGCAAGGACTATTTCAACATGCATGCACACATGGAAACTCCTGCAATGGCTTGGGAGTCATCACTGGGAAGTAACCACCAGGGACACTATGCATGCATTTGCTTAGATTTTAATTTTCAAGGAACTGGTGACCTTGACAGGGTCCAGTACACAGGGACCTACTTCCCTGGGATTTGGAGCTAGGAGAGAGGGTGTCATATCTGCTATGTTGTTGCTGGGGGTAGGCTGTGGGAAGAGCCTAGTCTGTAGGTTGGTCCTTCACTTCCCAGTCTCTGAATCGTGTTTACACAGACTGTGAAGCCATGGCGAGAAGATGACAAAATTTGGGTGTCTTGGAGCCAGACTTTCAATGTCAACATGACGAAGGAATTATTAAAGAAAATAAACTTCCACAAAATCACCTTGAAGCTCTGGGACACCAAGGACAAAGTCTCTAAGAAGGTCAGATACCACCGACTGAAGACAGCCACTTACACAGAAGACCCAGAATCTTTCGGTAAGTCAGGTGCTTCGCTTATATCTTAAGCATTTCTGGCAACTTGTGTTTTCTCACCACAGGTTAGACATATCTAGCCCAGAACTCTAAAGTCTGAAGTGATGTCAGGTTTGGTACTTTTTGAGCGTTACCACGGTAGCTTAAGTGGGAAATTCTGCAGCTGAAGTCACGTGACAGATTGTGGTCAAAACAAAGGCTCATCAAAGTAACCTTGTAATGTCCCCTCCAGACAACGAATGGAGTGTTCAGTTCATACAGCATGGAGGAATCTCCTGTTTAGAGCTGGGTGGCTTTCCCGAGGGCACTTCATTTGTATCTGAGAATATTCCAGAATCAGAAAAGAGTTCTAAATTCCAAGCATTTAAGATAGGGGATTTTGAATCTGTAATATAATATCAGAGTAAAAGCCAATGCTCTTTGTGGCCTCATCATTAACCTGGAACATCCAGTGCTCTCTGTGTGTCATCTACCCAGGACACACCTGGGCAGTCGTGGCATGTCTGTGCACTTGGGCCATGTCTATGTGCCTTCCTTACCTTTGCTTCCACAGCATCTCTGAGGTGAGTTACCATCACTAGCCTGTCTCCCCAAAATGATATTGTATGTTTACTCAAAGTTAAACAGGGATACCAAGAAACAAAAGAAGGGTTTCTCTTGTGTGTACAGTTTAGTGGGAACTGGCACGTGTTGCATGTATGAGTTTCTGGGTTCTGTCTCTACTTCCAGGAAAAGAAAGAGACCTAAGAATTTTACCTCTTCCAGCTGGGGTGGTGGCTCAGTTGGTAAGTCTCTGCTATACAAATATGAGAACCCAAATCTGACTGTCTGAGTCTCACAGGAAGGAGACTGATGTGGTGAGTGCACCTGTAAGTAACCATAGGAGAACCCATGAGAAGAATCTCATGAGAAGGAGAAGGATGTGGCCATTGGGGGGGTAGAGATAAGGGACCCTCGAACTGGTGACCACCAGCCTGGCCAAACTGGTGAGTTTCAGGTTTAATGAGAAACTGTCTCAAAAACTAAGGTAGAGTGTGATTGAGGAAGGCACTCAACTTCAACCTCTGGCCTCTGCATGGACTTTCACCCCTCCAAACACAAATCCATATACACCAATGCTACCCCTCCAGGATAACACGCTGATGTCTGTATGTAGCCCATTCCAGAGGGCTCTCGGGGAAGAGCTGGGAGTGGATTCCAGGGTCTTGTACATGCTAGGCAAATGCTCTACTTCTGAGCTACCACTCTAGCCTTTTTTCATGGCCCTCTCCCAAGTTTACCTTGAGATAGGATATTACTAACCTGCCCAGATGACCTGCAACTGTCATTCCCTTGGTCGCAGCCTCACCAAGGCTGGGCCCTGCAGGGAGGCCTATGGCCTCACCTAGGGTGCTTGGAGCTACAGCAAGATCCTTTCCCTGTGCTCTGTCTCAATCCTGGTGTCCCTGCCTCTTATTTTAAATACATTTTTTTCCATTAAAGGAACAGTATATATTCACTAGATTAAAAAAACAGTTAGAAATGTCTACAAAAAAGGAGGAAAAAGTAAAATCATACAGTGTCTGTCCGGAGATGGTCATTATTCATAGCCACCCTGTAGATCTGTCTTTAAAGATACCTAGTGGATACCTTACTTCTTGTGAGGATAGAAACACTCCAAGAGGAGAGACAGATGCTGGAACTTTAGCCAGCAGAAAATTTCAATCCTTAACCTTTATGCTAAATGGCACCATGCTTGAGAATGTATCTCACTCATTTTCCTCCTGCATGGCTGCCAGATTGTCACACTACTGAGGGTGCAGTGGGAGCAAACCCCACAGCCTTGGTTCACTCCAGCGATCACACTGGAAGTCGTGGGGTCCCTGACTGTGGAATCCTGAGGTGCCAAGGTAGCAGGAAAGCAGGCAATGTTGTGGTAACATTGGAAACTGGTAAATCCCAGCTCCCAACCCACGTGAACATGAATGTGAGTGGCTGCAAAGATGACCTCAGATACATCTCAAGAGATATACACATTAGAAAAACATCTGCCATGATCAAGTTGGCTTCATCCCAAAGATGCAGGGATGGTTCAACATATGAAAACCTGTCAATGTAATCCACCATATAAACAAACTGAAAAATAAAACCACATGATCATCTCATTAGATGCTGAAAAAGTCTTTGACAAAATACAATATTCCTTCATGATAAAGGTCTTGGAGAGAAGGAATAAAAGGAACATACCTAAACATAATAAAGGCAATATACAGCAAGCTAACAGCCAACGTCAAACTAAATGGAGAGAAACTCACAGCAATCCCACTGAAATCAGGAACAAGACAAGGTTGTCCACTTTCTCCATATGTATTCAATAGCTAGAGCAATAAGACACCAAACGGAGATCAAGGGGATACAAATCAGATAAGAAGTCAAACTCTCACTGTTTGCTGATGATGTTACTATAGTTTACATAAGTGACCCCAAAAATTCTACCAAGGAACTTCTACAACTCATCAACACTTTTAGTAATGTAGCAGAATACAAGATTAACTTAAAAAAAATCGGTAGCCCTCCTGCACACAGATGATAAATGGGCTGAGAAAGAAATCAGAGAAATATCACCTTTCACAATAGGCACAAATAAATAAATAAAATATTTTGGAAAAACTCTAACAAAACAAGTGGAAGGCTTGTATGACAAAAATTTTAAATCTTTGAAGAAAGAAATTGCAGAAAAATGAAAAGATCTCCCATGCTCTTGAGTAGGTAGAATTAACATAGTAAAAATGGCAATCTAAACAAAAGCAATTTACAGATTCAATGCAATGCCTATAAAAATCCCAGCAAAATTATTCACAGACCTCTAAAGAACAATACTCAACTTCATATAGAATGGCAAAAAACTCAGGATAACCAAAATAATACTGTACAATAGAGGAACTTCTGGAGGCATTACAACCCCTGACTTCAAACTCTACTACAGAGTTACAGTACTGAAAACAGCCTGGTATTGGCATAAAAACAGACAGGAGGACCAATGGAACTGAATAGAAGACCCAGATATTAACCCACACATCACAAAATGAAAAAAAAAACATATTTAACAAATGATGCTGGAATAACTGGATATCAACATGTAGATAAGTGAAAATAGATCCATATCTATCACCATGCACAAAACTCAACTCCAAATGGATCAAAGACCTCAACATAAAGCCAGCTACACTGAACCTCATAGAAGAGAAAGTGGGAAGTACAATTGAACGCATTGGCACAGGAGACCATTTCCTAAATATAACCCAAGTAGCACAGATACTGAGAGAAACAAATAATAAATGGGACCTCCTAAAACTGAGAAGCTTCTGTAAAGCAAAGGACACAGTCAACAAGACAAAACAGCAGCCTCCAAAATGGGAAAAGATCTTCACCAACCCCACATCAGACAGAGGGCTGATCTCCAAAATATATAAAGAACTCAAGAAATTGGTCATCAAAAGAACAAATAATCCAATAAAAAACTGGAGTACAGACCTAAACAGAGAACTCTCAACAGAGGAATCTAAAATGGCTGAAATACACTTAAGGAAATGCTCAACATCCTTAGCCATCAGAGAAATACAAATCAAAACAACTCTGAGATTCCATCTTACAACTGTGAGAATGGCCAAGACCAAAACCACTGATGACAACTTATGCTGGAGGGATTGTGGGGTAAAGGGAACACTTCTGCATTACTGGTGGGAATGCAAGCTGGTACAGCCCCTTTGGATGTCAGTGTGGCGTTTTCTCAGAAAATTAGGAAACAACCTTCCTCAAGACCCAGCAATACCACTTTTGGGTATATATCCAAAGGATGCTCAATCGTGCCACAAGGATATATGCTCAACTATGTTCATAGCAGCATTGTTTGTCATAGCCAGAAACTGGAAACAACCTAAATGCCCCTTGACTGAAGAATGGATAAGGAAATTGTGGTACATTTACACAATGGAGTATTACACAGCAGAAAAAAACGACATCTTGAATTTTGTAGGCAAATGGATGGATCTAGAAAACATCATATAGAGTGAGATAACTCAGACCCAGAAAGACAAATATCATATGTACTCACTCATAAGTGGCTTTTAAACATAAAGCAAAGAAAGCCAGCCTACAATTCACAATCCCAGAGAACCTAGACAACAATGAAGACCCTAAGAGAGACATACGTGGATCTAATGTACATGGGAAGTGGAAAAGGCAAGATCTCCTAAGTAAATTGGGACCATGGGGACCATGGGAGAGGGCTGAAGGGGAGGGGAGAGGCAGGGAGGGGAGCAGAGAGAAAAATGTAGAGCTCAATAAAAATTGATAAAAAAAGAAAGGAAAATAAAAAAAAAAAAAAGAAACACCCTAAGAGTTCTGTTCTGTATTGCAGAAGGACATTTGTTTGGCAGATCACGTGCTGGAGGTCAGTGGTCTTAACGGGAGGTCTGTGGTCGAGCTTCCCTTGTGTTTCCTCATGCTCAGCTCCTTGGACGTTCGGTGCTCGCTGCAAATGGCACGATTCTTGAAACCCACAGACGCTGCAGTGGCTTCTCCTATGCCATGTTCTTGACCCTCTCCCAGCACCTGCTTCCTCCTTGATGGAGGCTTTCTGGAGCCCTGTCCTGTGTGTCTGTCTGCATCAATCCCACTCTCTCAGCGTCTTTCTCCCCAGCCCGGTCTCCTCCCTCCTGCCACTGGGGCCAGTGTCCAGTTGACCCCTGTGTTTCATTGAAGGCCTTTTAGGACTTGCTTCCTCAGGTTCCATTTTTTTTGTGGGAACCCTCCCCCCCTTTACTCAGGACACTGGCTCATCACAGGGCTTCCTTCTGGCAGCTGGCTACATCTCAGGGGCCTCTCTGTCCCATTGCTTTCTCCAAAACTTTGATTTGCCTTCCATCAATGAGTCAAATTTAATGTCCTTTTCACCTCTTTCTGGAAGTTCCCATGATCGTCTTCACTTTATCCCCTTACACATTCACGGCATATTCATGGAGTGCTTGACACTAGTGGGAGTCTCCACGCTGAGAGGGACTGGCCTGGGGGTGCGGCTCCCCCCATACGTTCACAGCTTGACACTAGTGGGAGTCTCCATGCTGAGAGGGACTGGCTTGGGGGTGCGACCCCCCACATTCACAGCGTATTCATGGAGTGCTTGACACTGTCATGAGTGGGAGTCTCCACGCTGAGAGGGACTGACCTGGGGTGCGGCTCCCTGGCTTGGAGCAACGAGTGCTTGCAGGCCTGGTTCTTCTAGTGCAGTGGTTCCCAACCTTCCTAATGCGTCAGTACTTTAAGACGGTTCTTCATGTGGTGACTTCCAACCATAAAATTATCTTGTTGCTACTTCTTAACTCTAATTTTGCTGCTGTTATGAATCATAACGCAAACATCTGAGATGCAGGGTATCTGATATGGTGGGGACCTCAGGTTGAGAACCTCTGTTCTCAGGACTCTGGTGTGGAAAAGTTACCTAAGAATTAGCTTCCTCACATATAGATGAGGAACATGGCATCTCCTTCCTTGCAGTGAAATGAGGAGATCCAGTGGCATGGCATGCACAGGTACTTAGGGGAATCTGAGGTACAAGCACTTGGCCCTAACAGGTGTGTGGCTTCGCCTCCTAGTATTTGGTAGCAATGTACATAGCTTATCCTCTGTCCTCTGCGTTTGTCCACCGGAGGTGCCAGAAGACTGGGCATGGTAGGTGTCCAGTAGGCATTTTGACGTATCCATTTTCTCATTCCAGAGGAAGTGAAACTTTTGGTTTTAAGTCAGAAAAGGTTGTCTGCAATTATCAGGGAAAAACCCATCGCTGTCCTCGAGGAGTCGAGAGAGGTGAATTCACCAGGTGACCAGGAAAAGGCAGAAAAATACTTGAAGTCTCTACAAGGTGAGGAGTGATGGCCGTGGACACCTGAGCTCAGCACTGTGCTAGGAGACAGGCCAGTATGCATCCATGGTTCATTGTTCCCGTGCCCCTGGGCGGCTTGATTTTGATGGTTGATTCTTCTCCCTTGCCCTGCCCTGTCTTCTCTCCCCCTTCTCTTTCCCTCTTGATTTTTTGAGCCAGGGTCTTACAAACCTGGCTTAGAACTTGCTATGCAGGCCAGTAGGCCAGGCTGTCCTTGAATGTGAAGTCTTAGCCTCCTAAATGTTGCAATTGCAACCATGAGCCAGCATGCAGCTGATTTAATGGATATTTTTTCACAACTGCAAAACAAAAGAAAACACAATAAGACATTTTTGGGCTCTGGAAGTTAATTTTAAGAGAAAATCCAGTCACTATAGAAAAGTATAAAAAAGTGAGAAAGTAATCTACGATGCCATCACCGATTGTAGCTGATGAGGTGTTTTGGTTGTTGTGTTCCATTACGTTTCTCTGTTTTTGTCTTAGGACTCATTTTGTTTTTGTTTTTAGCATATGGGTTTACCCAAGATACATATAGCACTTCTGTCTTCAGAGGGTTTGTATGTTATCACAAGAAGCCCCTATGTCCTTAAAGTCTGTCTGTAAACTTAAAGTCTGTTTGTGGTGGCTGTGTTGTATTATATTATATAGTATTTTATCTGTAAGTACGGTAGTTTAGCTGACCCTTCCCTAGAGCTGGGAACTTGCAACTATTCCACAGTGTTCTGCTAAGCAGCTGAAGCGGACACTTTCACCTAGAGGAGGCCTTGCTTCTTCTCGGCGGGTCGGGCTCCACGCACCTTCCTTTGCCCAATAATGGGAATTCATCTGGTGTGTGTCCTTCATTCATGAAGACACCCTGCTTTCTGAGGGCTGCTGTGTTAGGCCTCCACCAGCAGATGTGTCTCTAAAATGAGCAGGGACATCATTTGCTGGGACCAGCACGGAGTGAAGCTTGGAGCCTCTTGGTAATGTTTGATTCTCACCAAGCAGAGCCTGAAACCCCTGCTAAGAATGGTGACGAATATGAAAAATTACTCAAGATGGAGGACCCTTCTGCATCTCGGTAAGGAGAGTTGCTTACTTGGTGTCAGAGTAAGGCCCCTCCTCACTGGCCCTGCTCTGGGTCATTAGACACTTTTTTGCTGGTTTTGGTTAAGGTGGGGGTGAAACAACCAAGGGAAAGTGAAAGACCTGAGAAGGGAAGGAAGTTGGTGCTGCCAGGTGCCCCAGATGGGCACCCACCACCTCTCGGCAGGAGTGTTTTTCAGAGACGGACCCTCCATGTTAGCTGGTCAGATTGGACTGTCACTCCCCACTCTCGCACAAGGCAACAAGAGCCTCCAATGAGTTTAGTCAGAAAGCTAGTTTGGGGTCAGGGTTTCAGCCTGCAGTCTCAGTCTGTGGAGTTTTGGCTAGGGCTTTCAGAAAGTCGCCGTCCTGGGTCCTCAGATAGTCAAGCTGGTTCCGGAGAAGCCGGGTGGAGAATAGAAACCCAGCTGTGGGTCTGTGGTGCTATGAGTAGATCCAGGACCACACACAGTAGGCAGCGTTGGCTTCCTCTGCTCTGTCTTCTTTGGCAACAGTCTCTTTTGCTCAGGCTAGGTTCACACTCTCAAGATCAAGCCAGTCTCCTGCCTAAACCTCTTGAGTGTGGGTCTGAAGGTGCATGCAGTCATGTCTAGCTAACACTTTTGGCTTTTAAATATTGTTTTTCATTGAATTTTCATATTAATTTGAGAAAATTGATGTTTATTTGATGTTGCCCCACCCATGATCATGGCATATCCTTTTACTTAAACGTGCACCCTCTTTATAGACTTTAGTGGAGTTAATATCCACTTCCCGTAGATGCAGTGGATAATTCTTGAGAGTTCTTAGATGTTTCATAGTTTTAGATACTTTGAGAATATATTATTTTTCTTTACGTTTTCTAGTTGGTTTGAGCTCTGGTCATACAAGTGTGGCCCATTGATCACTGCTACTAGAGAGACTGGTGGACTTAATGAGTCCCAGGCTGCCCCAGGCTCCTGAGACATCATCCACATTTGACAAAATCCCTAGGCCATTCACGTGCATATACTTTTAAGAAGTATGGAAGGCCCAGTGAGCAGATTCTCGAGACATGGTGCCTGTACGCTTCTCTTCACTGTCCTGTCTCTGTGAGCATTTTCTAGACTGGGCACTGTGAAAACAACTGTTTCTTTGGCTGGAACAACCATGATGGAGATCAGTGAAATCATCGAGAGAGCATCATTGGGCAGCTTAACAAACATGATAGAAAAGCAAAAGTCTCAATGTAAGTTGTGATGGGATTTTGATGTTTTATAACATTAGACTTGAAAAGTTATAAAATATTTAAATTTAAGGTATTTGAATAAGATTGTTTGGCATCTGACTATACTATACTATACTATACTATACTATACTGTATTATATACACTTTCACTTGCCCTTCTACTCATCCATCCATCCATCCATCCATCCATCTACCCACCCACCCACCCATCCATTCATCCACTTGCCTGTCTGTCCATCCATCCATCCATCCATCCATCCACTCACCCACAGAATTTTCTTCCTTTCCACTCCACAGTAGTTTTAGATTCCTGGTCTATGAGTTGAGGGAATGTAGACATGAAAATGTCTACTCTCTAAAGCAAACTTCCCAATGAACAATTGGAACATGGCATGGTAGTACCATGTTTGTGGGTAGACTCCAGGTTGTTGGGGTTATAGAAAAACTATATAGAAAAACGTTTGCTCCCTGGGGAGATGAAGGGCACAACATCTTATGTCATAGGCTGTCTCTTTGCCTGCAGAGCAACAAGAATCCTCAGAAGCCATTTGTCCTGGTTAAGATTTTTTTTCCATCTTGACACAAGCTAGAGTCATCTGGGAAGAGGAGTCTCACTGAGAACACACCTTCACCAGCTTGCCTATAGGCACGCCTATGCGGCATTTTCTTGATTAATTATTGATGTGGGATGGCCCAGCCCACTGGGGGCAGTGCCAGCACTGGGCTGGTGGTCCTGTGCTGTTTAAGAAAACAGGCTGAGCTAGCCAGGAGAGCAAGCCAGTAAGCAGCATCCTCCATGGCCTTCACTTCAGCTCCTGCCTCCAGGTTCCCACCAGCTTGAGTTCTTGATGGTTTCTCTGATGATGGTCTATGGCCTGTAAGCCAAACAAACCCTTTCCTTCCCAAGTTGCTTTTGGGGGTGTTTTATTGCAGCAACAGAAACCTTAGACTCTGCCCAATCTACCTGCTCATTCTTAGCCTGAACTTTCTCACTGTGGTTTTGATAATCAGGCAGGTGTCCAGTGAAGTTGAGTCTTCCCTGGATGGGTTGCTCCATTTTAGTCCGGGGCAGCTGCTGCAGCTGCTTCCTCGCCTGCCAGTCATCTGCTGGTTCCTGGGGCAACAGAGACTGCCTCCTGCTCTTGTCTGGGTGCTGGAGGCACAGACAGCAGCATAAGGCTCTCTTCTACTTTGGAGGCCCTGAGGTGTGGTTCCCACACTCACATTCAAATATCTTTCAAGTCCTCCAGAGGGTTCTCTTTTTTTGAAAATGTTTTTAAAGGATTTTAGTGAGAGTTTTCCAACCATTCCTTTTTGAATGAAGACATAAAAATATTCTCAGAAAATGTAAGTTATGTGCCACAATTTAGGATTCAATATTTTGCGATATTTTACCAGTTCTTGTTTTTTTTTCTACGTGTGTATACTTATGTGTGTGGTATGTGTGTGTGCGCACATGTGCACATGAATGGAACAATACACGTTTCGAGGTCAGAAGGCTGACTCTTAGAGTCTGCCCTCACCTTGTACTTTGTTTGAGGCAGGGTCTCTTACTTTCTTTGTGTCTGCGTACACCAGCATGGCTGGCTTCTGGGGCTTCTTCTGTCTCTCCCATCTCACCCTGGAGCGCTGGAACTACAGCTACTGTGTCTGGCTTTGTGTGAGTTCTGTAGATTTGAACTGAGGTCCCCTCGCATGTGGGACAAGTCCTTCACCTATGGAGCCATCTCTCTAGCTCCTCCTTTTCCTTTTTTAAGGAACAAAAGATAACAGATTCAGTATACATGCTCATGGCATCCTGCTTTTTGAGGGACCTTTCTCGTTTCCTTCCTCCAACCCATCCACTCTCATGTGTTCAGATAATACAGTGTTCTTATTCCTGCGGGATGAGGGGATTGCTCAGTGCTCTCCGACGCCTTCAGCTTGCTCTTTGTGCACAGCTTCATTTCTGAGGTTTACTCATGTGCACGTAGGTAAGGACACTACCTTCATTCTTACTTTTGCAGCACACCCTGTCAGATAGACAGACCACTGTTTATCATTCTATCAAGGAACACAGAATTTCTCAAGTGGCTTGCCATCCCTGACACCATTGCAGTGACCACCGTGTTCTCATTGCTTGGAGGACTTGTGGATAAGACAGCGGTCTGTGCCTGGTTTGGTTGTTCTCGTCTAGGTGGGGCTTCATTGTCCCCAGCGATCTGTGCTGAAGGTCTTCCCTTCTCCCACTTCCAGTGTCCAGCCACATTGACTCTACACCTTTGGCTTCCCGTGAGGCTGTCCAGCATTTCAGAGGCTTGCGCAGGTCCTACTTTACATGATTGGCCTCACACCATCCGCTAGTTATGGATGTCAGTGGCAGGTGACCTTCCCGGACATGTTTTATGACATCCTTTGGCTCCACTTGTGGTGTCTTGCTTTGTGTGGAAGTTATTTCATTGCCTCTTTCTAGTTTATACTGTGGTTAACACCTGGGAAATCTTCCTTGTATGACGCCAGTGCAGACGGGCTCAAGAGACCTGCCTGATGATTCTGAAGTTTGTTCTGGAGTTTGTTTCAGAGATGGGATGGGATGGTCCTGCAGTTTCACCTGCTTAAAATGACCAGTTGCTGCCAGTTACCGGAAGTCCCTGCTTTCCAGCTGTTCTGAGATGCCCCCTCTGACTCCAATCAACTGTCCCATGTGTGTACCCGAGCCTGGGCTCTCTAGACTTTTCCATTGGCTGCCATGAACCCCAAGATGACAGCTGATGCTGCTGTTGCCTGAGACCAACTTGAGCTAAGCACCTCCCTCCCCCTGGCTGGCCTGGAACTCACTATCTAGCCCTGGCTGGCCTGGAACTCACTGTCTAGCACTGGCTGGCCTGGAACTCACTATCTAGCCCTGGCTGGCCTGGAACTCTCTATGTAGACGGGGGTGGCTTCAAGCTCACCTCTGTGAGTCCACCTGCCTCTGTCTCCTGTGCTAGGGTTAAAGGCAGCACCACCAGGCCTGACTGAGCTGAGCATTTTACTCTTTGTTCCCGCTCTCTTCCCAACATACCGCTGTCATTAGACAGATGAGTATCAAGGATTGGAAGCCCCTCCCCCCTTCTGCAGGAAGGTGGAACCGGGCTTGGAACTTAGCTCAGCTCCGTAGCCCAATCTATGTGCTGTTCAAGTGACTTAAGCAGTGGGATCACAGTACAGTGTCATCACCATGGTGACCTTCGTCTCAGAGGGGTTGGGGACACCTTCATCCCATAGCTTCCAATAGCTGACAATAGCTTGTCACCTAAGAGACAGCAGTACAGAAGGTAAGGCCTGATTTCTAGGAGCTTCCAGAACCTTCCTGGTCTCTGCAGCATATGTGAATGCATCCATCGAAGCATCGTAAATCCCTTCTTAACATTGGTTTCATTTGGTTCTAAAGTTAAAGGAAAAGAGCCAGAGGTGAAGAAGAAAGCCCCAAAGAAAGTGAAGACGTATCAGACAGAGGAGGAAGCAAACATGAAGCTGGCATCAGCGCCCTGGAAGCCGAGCATCTTCTCCATTCAGCTGGCCGTCATGCCGCTCCTTGCTGGTACTTAGAATGCTTGCCTGTGAGACACTTGTGGAGACTGAGATCTTGCTCAGTCCCTCATTTCCCCCTCACTGTCACCTCAGGAACCACTCAGCTGTACAGAGAAATAAATGCAGGCCCAGGGAGGTCTATTACCCTGCAACATCACACAGCTTACATGTGTAGAGCCAGGGTTTCAACGGGAGTGTTTGACTCCAAAGTACAAGGAAACTTGTGAGGACGTAACTGTCATGGCTTTGTTTGGTACATAAGGTGCCACCCTTTAGTGACTGCGTTCCTGCAGGTCCTTATCGAAGCATCTCGTACAGGGAACCAAAGGATGTGGTTTATAGGGACCATCATGTCCCGTCACTTACTTCTCATGAGAAGCTTCTGTCCATCCACCCAGTGAGCTTGGGATGGTGTTGGGGGCAGAGGGTTTTCAACATCACCATTGTTTTCTAGTGAGGACAAACGGTGTTAAGTAACCCACGCAGCCAATGCAGGCCAGTAGTGGAGGAACGATTGCATTGTTTTGACTCGTATGATTTTCCATGTTTTATAAATTATGCTTCTGCCTTCTGGCAAACAATGAACAGATGTTTATTATATTCATATATTTTGATGCAACCTCCAGGATACATTTTAGATTAAATTATGTGATTTTAAAAAAGAATAACATGGGGGAAAACAAACCTTTCTTTTCTATTTAGAGAAAATAACTTCAAACCTTTTCCAACCCTTTTTCTGGGTTTTCGCTCCCAGGAGGAGTATGCATCCCCCACTGGCTATTTTGCAGAGCTGCAGGCTTCGTTCTGAGATGGCACCAACCCACACACCTGTCAAGTCAAGACAAACAATGTGTGTAAACTGTTCAGTGTAAGATTGACCAACAGAGAGACTCTGAGTGGCTGGCAGGGAGGTGACGGATCACTGGGAGGACAAATATCAGATGCTGGTGGTTCCAGGAAAGCGGAGATGAATCCTGACCCTTACAGCAACTGCAGGTGGCCGTCAGTTAGAATGGCCTTGACTCAGGGCCTGCTGCTTCCAACGTGAAATCATAGCCTGAGATTATCTGTTCCAAAACTCACACTGTTTTGTTTGGTTAACACCTTCCATTTTAGGTTAGGCCAGAGGTTTCTATTCTATCCCATCATAGCAGATAGCAGTTGGTCCCCAGGGGAACTTTTGGAAGATCCTGAGGTTGGGGGAGAACTCTTGCGTTAAAGGAGGGGGTGATGAGTGGAGGGCTGGGTGAGGGAGCAGCCGGGGCAGGTTGCTGACTCTACAGGGTAAGAGTTCAGAGACCTTGAGCGATTACTTAACCTGTCTGAGGCTCAGTTTCTCTTCCATAAAGTGAAAATGATGTCAACTCCAGAAGGGTGTCCCAAGGCTCAAGCGATAGCGATGTCAGCTTAGAGCTCGCCTCTCCTTCTTTCACGTAGAACCAGGGTGTTCCTTCTGGGCCTCTGTGTCTCAGGCAGGTGACCTGGTAAGGGTAGAAGCATTTTTGGTCATCTTAACTGGGGGCAGGGTGCTGCAGACACCTGTGAAGTGTGCTGTATGGTTTGTCATGTGCACCAGGTGGGATGGGAAGTTGAGTATATGCCACAGGTGCCTGTCATGTTCTCCTCAAATGCCTGTTTTATAATGGCCACACTTAAAGAGGTGTCTGCCCCTCAGCTCCAGGTACCTACAGGGGGTGTCCCTGGCCTTCATTTGGTGTTTGGTTTGCATTTAGCTGCCCACTGCAGCTTGACCCCTGGGACTGTCTGAAGTGAAGGCCAGGCTTCAGGTCTGCTCACTCATAGCCACACAATCACTGAGCCCTTGAAATGCGTCCAATATGGTGAAGGGACATGGACATCAGACACCAAAGTCATGCCTCGGGTCTAGAACGGTGACTGTACGGTCACCTGTGCAGAAGCCACACACTGGAACAGTTATCTGGGTGGCATCTGTGCATTTGTACTTTTTACTGCACGCACTGTGATTCAGGAAATATGCACCTTACCTTTAGTCAATCAAGCTAAAGTGATAAGGTCTTAGGGACCTTAGGCTTTTGTTTGGCATTCGACATTTCATCTGTGGGTATTTTCCAGGTTTTCTAGTTCTGAAGATGGACCCCCAGCTTTGGGTACACTACGCAAGTCCCCTACCAGTGAGCTACATTCCAGCTCTTGATTTTCAGAAACAAGAATCTTGCTGTGTAGGTCAGGCTGTCCTGGAACTTGAGCATTTCCTGCCTCACCCCTATGTGCTAGGATCCCAAATGATTGCCACCATGTCTGGTGTTCTGATTCTTCTTAAAGGCTTTCCCTGTGGTATGAATCTTTATTCTTCATCATTTCTTTTTTCCCTTTTATTGAAGATAGATCCTGATTATGGTTTTCCCCTCCCCTTGCTCCTCTTTAGTTCTCCATGACCAAGGTAACTCATATAAAGGAAGGCATTTAATTGGGGGTTTGCTTATAGTTTCAGAGGTTTAGTCCATTATCATCATGACGGGAAGCACGGTGGCACGCAGGCAGACATGGTGCTGGAAAAGCAGCTAAGAGTTCTGAGAGTTCTACATCTGGATCCACAGAGAGGATGAAAAGAGAGCGCCACTGGTCCTGGGTTGGGCTTTTAAAACCTCAAAGCCCATCCCCAGCTGTAAACGGAGACCATGCATTGGTTTCCTGGCCGCCCAGACCCAAATAATCTCACAGAAACTATATTAATTACCATACTGTTTGGCCAATATCTTAGGCATATTTCTAGTTAACTCTTACATATTAAATTAACCCATTTCTATTAATCTGTGTATTGACACAAGGCTGTGGCCTACCAGTAAGATTCTGGTGTGTCCTCCTTTGGCAGCTACATGGCATCTCCCTTACTCTGTCTACTCTCTCCATTTCTCTTCCAGCCTGGCTATATTCTGTCCTGATGTAGGTCAAAGCAGCTTTTTTCATTAACCAATAAGAGCAACACACATACAGAAGGACCTCCCACATCACCCAGTGGCATACTTTCTCCAGCAAGGCTATACCTCCTCTGCTTCTCAAATAGAGTCTAAGCATTCAAATATATGCACCTATGGGGCCATTCTTATTCAAATCACCACATTCCCTGACCTCCATAGACTTGCAGTCATATCATAATGCAAAAAATACATTTAGTCCAGCTTCAAAAGTCCACAGTCTATCATAGTCTTAACACTGTTTAAAATTCCAAAGTTCAAAGTCTTTGTGACTCATAGCAATCTAATTGTAACTTCATTTAAAATCAAAATAAAAAGCAGGTCATATGTTTCCAACATACAATGGCATAGAATATACATTACCATTCTAAGAGGGAGGAAAGGGAGCACAGTGAGGAAATACCGAACCAAAGTGAGGCTGAAAACCAACAGGGAAAACTTGAAATTCTTAGGCCAAAGTGCTCTTCACATCTCCAACTCCTTCCAGCTTTGCTGACTGTAACACACTTCCCTCCTATAGGCTGGTTCCACAGCATTCTGAAGCTTTCCTTAGAAGGTATCACATAACTTTGGCATCTCCAACAGGTTGGGGTCTTCAGTACAATTCAGACTTCACCTTTGCAGCTTCACACAATGGCCTCTTTGGGCCTCCATGCAGGAACACCCCAACACATGCCTGTCCTCAGCATTTCCCTTAATTTAAGGGAGATTCCATAAACCTTTTCTTGTGTTCTTGATGCTAAAGCCAGGACCAGGTGGCTGAAGCTACTATGTTCTGCTGCTTTATGAGGCTGGAACTTGGCCCTTTTGTTCAGTTACATTTGTATCAGCTCTCTGTCCCACCCCTTGTCAAGTTGATACACACATCATATCTCTTTATGGCTTCCCTTACTGCTTTTTAAATTCCTTTTCACAAATTGGAACCATTCCTTATTATATTTAGCACCAGGCTTTTCTTTAAGCTTTTTATCTCCTGGAGCCCTGGACTTTTCTCCATTATACTTTCTGGAGCTCTTTTTCTCCTCAAACTGTGCATTTTATATTTCTTCTTGTCTTATTTGCTCCTTTTCATTGTAGATTTGTATTAAAAGTGACCACTAGCAAAAACACGACACAGTCAATAAATACTAGGTTGTCTTGAAGTCTCCTCTGTTAAGGCCATTAATCCAAAACTTTTCAATTTATCTTCAGGACAAGAGCAAAAAAACCAGCCACATTCTTTGCAAAAATATCACAAGAATGGTCTCTAGGCCACTTACTAATATTCTTCCCCCCTGAAACTTCTTGAGCTGAGCGGTTATAACTTACGTTATTTCAGCACCACTGTCTTCTAGGCTCCTACTAGTATGACCCATTAAGTGCCACTTAAAATGTTTAACTTCTGTAGTAGGAGTGGCGGGCTGCTTTCCGCCACCCAGTTCCTGGCTGCAGGCTGGCTTTACCCAAAATAATTACATGGAAACTGTATTCTTTTAAACACTGCTTGGCCCATTAGCTCTAGCCTCATACTGGCCAATTCTCACATCTTGATTAACCCATTTCTAATAATCTGTGTAGTACCATGAGGTGGTGGCTTACCAGGAAGGATCTTAACCTGCGTCCATCTTGGAGAGGAGAGCTATAGTGTGTGTCTCACTTCCCTTCTTCCCAGCATTCTGTTCGGTCTACTCCACCTATCTAAATTCTGCCCTATCAGGCCAAGCAGTTTTCGTTATTAATTAACCAATGAAAGCAACAGATAGACAGATGACCCTCCTCCATCAAACTGCTTTTCTAATCTAAAGTCCCTAAGTCTACATTCCACCAACAAGCAGCATGGCCAGGCCTTTCACAGCAGTACCCTGCTACCTGGTACCAGCTTCTGTCTTGGTCTTGTTCTATTGATGTGAAGAGACACCATGACTAAGGCAACTCTTATGAAAAAAGCATTTAATTGGGGGCTTACTTAAGGTTTCAGAGGCTTAGTCCATTATCATCATGGCAAGAAGGATGGTGCTGGAGTAGTAGCCAAGCACTACATCCTGACCCACAGAGGGAGACAGACAGAGAGAGAGGGGGGAGGAGGAAGAGAGAGAGAGAGAGAGAGAGAGAGAGAGAGAGAGAGAGAGAGAACACAGAAAGATCAAGCTTCCTTCTTCCAGGTCCTTATATAGGCTGCCAGTAGAAGGTGTGACCCAGAGTAGAAGTGGCTCTTTGCATGTCAAGTGATTTAATTAAGAAAAATAATCTCCCAGAGCTATGCCCAGCCACTTGGATTTTAGTTAATTCCAGATTCAGTCAAAGTTGACAACCAAGAATAGCAATCTCGAGTCTGTAGGTGGAGTTTCCTGGCAGTTGCTCCCAAATAACCACTCAGAGACTTGTCACTAATTATAAATAGCTCAGTCAATTTTACAAGTTAAATTAACTCACTTTAATCTCTGTGCTTCCCCAAGGCTTTTTACCTCATCTATGAACTTCCCATGTTGCTTCTTCCATGGGTATGGCTCAAGACTCCTCAGACTTTGCTCCTCTTCTTCTTCTTCTTCTTCTTCTTCTTCTTCTTCTTCTTCTTCTTCTTCCCCCAGCATTCTCTGTGTTTTGATATCTGCCTATACCTTCTGCCTACCTACCTCCAGTCAATTCTTTTATTAAATCAATCAGAAGGTGCCTTGGGAAACCCATTTATATTATTTTATATTTTACCATGAGGCTTATTTTCTCCTTTGGTGATTCTATGGTGCCTCACCACTCCACTTTCTTTCTCCCAGAATTCAGTTTAGTTTTCCCTACCTACCTCTATTCCTTGTGCAGGCCTAAGACAATTTCTTTTTTTTTAAATTTATTTATTTATTTATTTTTTATTTTTTTGAAAATTTCTTTATTAATCAATGGTATTCACAGCATACAGAGGGAGCCCACATCAGAGCTATACAAGCACATTCTTTACAAAATACATGCATTGTAACATGAGGGCTGGCTTGTTTGTTTGTTGGGGTTTTCTGTCCTGCCCAGTACCCCATAGCAGGCAAGCCCCCTGAAAAATCACACAGAGATCTCTATAAGTTATAAAGCTGATTGCCCTATTACCTCTAGCCTCTCACTGGCTAACTCTCACATCTTGATTAAGCCATTTTTCTGATCTATGTTAGCCATGTGGCTCAGTACCTTTTTCCAGTGGGGCAGATCACATCCTGCTGCTTCAGTGGTTTGGGCAGGAGTGAGAAGAATCAGCTTCCTCCTTCCCAGAATTCTCCTGTTCTCCTTGCATCATTTCTACTTCCTGTTTGGTTTTCCCGCCTATACTTCCTGCCTGGCCAGTCAGCACTTATTTAAAACATGATTGACAGAATACAGACAATTCTCACGAAATGCATGCCCTTTATAATCCTCTTTTCTGCCACTGGTCGTGTGGCCCCAGCTGGTATTTATAACTATCTTTCTCTGCTACCCATTCTCCACCCTCAGCAAACACCTCAGCAGGTCTTAGCTGTTTTCCTGGAAGAGTGACCCATACCTTCATTCCTGAAGGGTCTTGTCTGTACCCCTTGTTATTCTGCCTGGATTAGGTTGTTGTGGTTTCCCATTTCCCATCCCCATGTCTCATCACAGGGCATGGTACCCCTAAAAGATCTGCACTCCAGACTTTCTGACCTCCACTGTGGAGAAGCAATCCTGTTTTCCCTTGGTGATCTGGATCAGTACACTTCCTAACACTGTTATTTCTTTCTTAGCCTGCTGGCTTAAGGCCATTAGAGGCCCAAAGTGGCTTTGGTGGGGGTGTGAGGATGGTGTCTGAGCTTCCAGTTTAATGGAATGTTGTGTCTCCTGCCAATAGTGCCAGAATAATGGTATTTCGTCTTATCCTCACCCCGGGTTATCTAGTCTCAGGTTCTTGGCCACCCAAGTAGCACTAGGTATAGGATCCATCTCACGGAGTGTAACTTAAATCAGGGGTTGGTTGGTTACTTCTCCAAGCTTTGTGCCACTATTGCATTAGCATATCTTACAGGTAGACCACCATTGTAAATCAAAGGTTTTGAGGCTGGGTTGGTGTTTGTGTTTCTCTTTTGGTAGCCTGCCGTGTATCCTCCTGTACCAAAGATGCCAGCTCCCCTTGTAGTTGTGAATTTTCTGTCAGCTCTTGTTAGGTTTCTGATGCGAACCTGCTTCTAACTGCTGTGGGCTAAAGCTGTGTATGTTTCCTTCTAGGCTGGCAAACGGTCATCAGCCGGGGCAGTGAGAAGTCTGCCAACATTTTAGATTGCTTTTTGACTTTAAAAACCGAAGTTCCTATCATGACTGACGAGCAAAAGCAAGACTTGAACCCCCTTACCATAAAGATCAGGTCTGCTTCCTGCCTTCCCAGCCAGCCTGTATCCATTCATGACCTGGAGGTAAGAGTGAACCCCAGCCTTTCCCATTAAGAGCACCTCCTTATCCCACCCAGGTGGCTACTGTGTGTCAATCTACTCTTTCAGGTGCTCACTGTGAGAAATATCACCCACAACTTCCCATTTCGGATTCTGTCGGGAGACATGAAAGAGACGAGGTTCCTGGGAGTAGGAGCCACCAAACCTGAGGGTTTTCACTTCTCCCCAAGTGTGCTGCAAACGGAGATGGCTGGCCTGCTCAGCAATGTGTGGGCTTCCCTGTCACAGCACCACCCAGATGTGTCCTTGTAGCTGTAAACCCTCCAGGCTCTGAGTCCTAGGAGTCCCCTCCTTCTTCTCTGGATCACTATTTCCAGGACTGCTTTCCTGTTCTTCTATTTGCTCTTTGGTTTTGCTGAAACTCATCTTTTGGTAGATATCCCCCCCCCCCACATTATTTCATGTTCTACAAATATCTGTATTTCATATTCTCATACTTGGAAAACTGGCTGGTGTCTTAGTTTGCTTTCTAGTGCCGTGAAAAAACACTGAGTAAATCCAATCTGGGGGTGAGGAGGGTTTATTACATCTTATGGTTTAGAGTCCATCATCAAGGGAAACCTGGGAAGGAGCTCAAACAGGAACCTGGAGGCAGGAACTGAAGCAGAGGCCACAGAGGAACACTGCTTGCTGACTTGTTCTCCATGCCTTGCTCAGCCCGATTCCTTTATTGTTTTCTTTTCTTTTATTATGTTTGAGACAGGGTCTTTCTGTGTAGCCCTGGCTGTCCTAGAACTCTCTATGTAGACCAGGAGGTTTCATCCTGCTTTCTTGGATAACACAGGACCACCCACAGTAGGCTTAGATTGGGTCCTCCCACACCAATCACAGTCTTGTCCACAGGCCAATCTGATAGAAGAAATTCCTCAACTGATCTTCCACTTTCCCAGATGGCTTCAGTTTGTGTCAAATTGACCGAACCCAAAAGAAACAGAACCAAAACAACCAATCAAAGTAAAAACAACTAGCCAATGTATTTGGGACTTATTGGTTAAAAAAATCAATGCTCAGTGTTTTGAAGACATTGTTACTTTCCTCAAAGCTTGTAGGATCTTCTTTTTGCCTTGTGAAACTATATGTGTAGTGATTTGGATGAATGCCTCCCCTAGTCTCAGGCAGTACAGTGCTTGGTTTCTGCTGGGGGTTCTGCTGGAGGAGGCTTGAGAGATGTGGAGGAAGTACATTGCTGTGGGTGGGCTTTGAGAGTCCAAAGACCCCACGCCATTCCCAGTTCACCTTTCCTGCTTCCTGTTTACGGTTTATATGTGAGCTCCCAGCTTGCTGCTTCTGTCACCATGCTGCCTGATGCCAAGCTTCCCTGTCTGTCATGATAACGCTGGGCTCCTGTCCCTCTGGAACTGTAATCTCTAATCATCCCTTCTAGAAGTTGCCTTACTCATGAGGTTTTATCATGGCAATGGAAAATTAACACATGATGTATCCTAGTGTGAGTAAATTCACGTATATACATATTCTTCTAAAAATAAATCCACATGCATTATACATTTATTTTGAAACCAGTTTATACAAAATTGTCAGACAGAGTTTAAAAAATAATTTTCACTGAAATAGAGCATGAAAACCACAGGTATTTCTTTCTTCCTCATTTTTGATGATATTTTTTAGTGAAAATCTTTTTTATTGGTTTTATTGTGCTATACATTTTTCTCCGATTCCCCCTTTGCCTCCCCTTTTCCTTTTCACCCTCTTCCATGACCCCCATGCTCCCAATTTACTCAGGAGATCTTGTCTTCTTCTCCTTCCTATGTAGATCCATGTATGTCTCTTAGGATCCTCTTTGTTGTCTACGTTCTCTGGGATTGTGAACTGTAGGCTGGTTTTTCTTTGCTTTATGTCTAAGAGCGACTTATGAGTGAGTACATATGATATTTGTCTTTCTGGGTCTGGGTTTCCTCACTTAATATGTTTTTTTATAGATCCATCCATTTGCCTGCAAATTTCAAGATGCCATTCTTTTTCTTTCTTTTTCTTTTTTCTGCTGAGTAGTACTCCATTGTGTAAATGTACATTTTCTTTATTCATTCTTTGGTTGAGGGGCATTTAGGTTGTCTCCGGGTTCTGGCTATTCCAAATAATGCTGCTATGAACATAGTTGAACACATGTCCTTGTGATAAGAATGAGCTTCCTTTGGGTATTGCTGGATCTTGAGGTAGATTACTTCCTAATTTTCTGAGAAATTGCCACACCCACAAGCCTTTCTAAGCCAGTTGAAATGTCTACCCCTGCCTCATGCTGGGGCTTTGTACTCAGCACCAGGTTCCCATCCTCCATCTTTGTATTTGCTGGGACGTCTTACAGGTGGAAGCTACACTAGTAATCTTTTAAAGCATGGCTACTAGGAACAGATTGTCTTAGTTTTCTTTTCAGCGAACAAGCATCCACTTCACGTCATGCCTGGGATGCATCTACAGTGGTTTAGTATTCTAAGCTGATGATTTCGTCTTTTGGCCTCTCTTCTTGCCCTCCATGACGGCTCGTCTCCTGGTGTGACAGGCCTTTTCCTTGCTGCTTTTAAGATGTTCTTGCCCCCTCCTTTTGAGAGGAAATAGAGTAAAACAGTTAAGTGAGGATGTGTCTGGATGTGGGCTTTTTGAGTTAAGCCTGATTGGTGGACTGAGTGTCTTGAGCCTGTGGGATTATGCCTTTTCCAAAGCGAGGCAATGTCTGTGCATTCTCCCTTTTGATAGCTTTCTGTGTCTTTTCTGCTCCCTTCCCAGGACTCTCATAGTACAAATATTATTGCAATTGTCTCACAGAATTCTTTCCTTTTCTTTGTCTGTCTTTCGTAGTTCTGTGCTCTCTCTTTAAGTTCACCTCTTTCTTTTTTGCTGTCTCCATTTTGTTTTTAAGACTATCCAGTGAAATTTTAATCTCTTGCTTGGTTTCTGTTGTTTCTTCATTGTACTTTCGGCCAAGGCAGGTGACCTTTACAGATGCTCTGAAGAGAGGCCATGGTTACTTCTTGTGGTGTGGCCATAACAGCAGACTTGAAACCCTCACACTTCCAACCTGAGTCATCTTAGAGTTGGCTTCTGTCAATCTTCTCTTTCTTGGCTTTTTGTGTGTTGTGTAATTCTGCATTGTGTCTTAGGGATTTTTTGAGTGTTATAAGACTCTGGGTCTTGTCTGAGTCTTTGGAGAATACTGGCATTTTTCACTATTTTATTATAAAATGTTTTTGACTAGAGTCAAGCTGAAAATCCAATTCACCTGCACACAGGTGGAATGTTCCCTGCTGCCCCTGCTCTCTTGTGGAGTCTGGGCACACAGGTGGAGTGTTCCCTGCTGTCCCTGCTCTCTTGTGGAGTCTGGGCACACAGGTGGAATGTTCCCTGCTGTCCCTGCTCTCTTGTGGAGTCTGGGCACACAGGTGGAGTGTTCCCTGCTGCCCCTGCTCTCTTGTGGAGTCTGGGCACACAGGTGGAGTGTTCCCTGCTGCCCCTGCTCTCTTGTGGAGTCTAGGCACACAAGTGGTGTGTTCCCTGCTGCCCCTGCTCTCTTGTGGAGTCTGGGCACACAGGTGGAGTGTTCCCTGCTGCCTCTGCTCTCTTGTGGAGTCTGGGCACCCAGGTGGAGTGTTCCCTGCTGCCTCTGCTCTCTTGTGGAGTCTGGGCACCCAGGTGGAGTGTTCCCTGCTGCCCCTGCTCTCTTGTGGAGTCTGGGCACACAGGTGGTGTGTTCCCTGCTGTCTCTGCTCTCTTGTGGTGGCTGGGCACACGGGTGGAGTGTAACTTATCATTTTCCTGCTTTCTTGTAGAGGCTGTGCACCCCTGTGTACTGCAGATACCAGTTCCACAATACTCCAGTTCACGAGACCGAGGGGGAGCCCCATGGGACTCATGTATTTTTCCAGGATATCAATGTCATCTTCCTTGGGGCCATGCACCCTAGTGACCTGAGGGAGTACCTCGAAGGGCCCCCTATGGTGGTTGAAGTCCATGACAGGGACCGAAAGTCAGAGGAGTATACCCGGAAACCTACCCTGTTTGGAGAGGACCCTGTGGATTCATACTTCAATCTTCAAGCTTTCATCTCTTCCAAAAACACCAAGAATAACCCCTTTGAGTCCCAGAACAAGATATGGGACCCTTATGGGGTTGCCCGGGTCAGTTTTGCTGACCTCCTCCTTGGTCATAAATACTTGAACCTGGTTGTCCCCATCCATAACTGTGAGCCAAAGTCTGCTGGCCGAAGCCAGGAGAGCAGGAACAGGAAGTTTGTAGGGTTCCGGGCCCCCATGGATGTCCTCCAGCATAGCTCAATGCCCACAGGCAACTACCTGGAGGCCAACTCTCTACTCAAGCTCCGAGTGGACATTGCCGTGCCCCTGAGTGCTTGGCTCACAGCTCCTGAGCTTGACTTCATGGGGACCCAGTTCGGCCGCATCATTTTTGTGTTCAATACCAAGAAGCTGGTCCTCCTACAGAACCTGCTGCAGGACATCACTATGATCAATGCCAAAGCCCTGGACTTGGACAGTCACCCCATCCAGAACATCCAGCAGATCCTGTCGGCCTTCAAGGTGCGTGTGAAGATCCAAGAGCAGCAGTGCCTAGATGTGCTCACTGGCTTCCATCTGCTGGACGGAAAGATCCACCTTTTTATTCTGGAAGGCTTGGCAGAACACGGCTTGAAGCAACTGTGGGAGAGTTACCAGAGCAGGTAGGTTGACTTTGTCACATTCAAAGTGAAGCCATGGAACTCAGATACAGTTCCTCTATATGGAGCAGGGGTTTCAAAGTCAAGGGCAGATTCAGTGTCCTCTAGACACTGAGAACAGGCAGACCTAGATGTCCTAGAGGGAAGGGGGAATTTGGGATTGGGATGGTAAGGTGCCTAGTAATATGGGCATTTTCTGTGCACTCCTGGTGCCCCAGTAAAACCTACAGAACTCACATAAAAGCAAAAGGAACAATGTTGTCCACTGATCTCCATGCATTGTCATGCCATGGTGTGCACACATAATAATGCATTAACAGTTCTTTCTTGATTTTTTGAGACAGGGTTACTTTGTGGAACAGTCCTGGCTATCCTGGAACTCACTCTGTTGACCAGGCTGGCCTTGAACTCAGAGCTCCTCCTGCCTCCGCATCCCAAGTGCTGGGAGTAAAGGTGTGCACCACCACTCCACAATGCTTAAACATTTTTAAAGACAAAATTTAGGGTGATTTAGAATATGACACTTATAGAAGGCTCCCCTAAGTTTAGAGGTATAGCTTGTTGAAGAATAGGATCCTTATTTAGTGGGAGGGCATATTTCATGGCCCCAAACCTCAATCTCACGTACTAACAGCAGGAGGGCAGAAGTTGTTTCTCTCTACCAAAGAGGGAACTGTACCACTGTGGGGCCTTCCTGATGTGCTGACAAGCTGAGAGACACCAGAGAGATGCATGGCTTCTTTTTTAGATGTATACATAAGACAACCAAAAACTTATATCCACGTCAAGGTCAATAAATGAATGTATAGGGTATACTAGTCAAAAAATAGAAACCAAATGTCCTTCCACTGATCATCAAAATGTGGACATCAAAATAATTGATTTTTATTGAGCTCTACATTTTTCTCTGCTCCCCTCTCTGCCTCCCCCTTTCCCTTCAACCCTCTCCCAAGGTCCCCATGCTCCCAATTTACTCAGGAGATCTTGTCTTTTTCTACTTCCCATGTAGATTAGATCCATGCATGTCTCTCTTAGGGTCCTCATTTTTGTCTAGGTTCTCTGGGATTGTGATTTATAGGCTGTTTTTTTGCTTTATGTTTAAAAACCACCTATGAGTGAGTACATGTGATAATTGTCTTTCTGTGTCTGGGTTACCTCACTCAAAATGTTTTCTAGATCCATCTATTTCTGTAAATTTCAAGATGTCATTATTTTTTTCTGCTGTTTATGTAGTACTACATTGTGTAAATGTACCACATTTTCGTTATCCATTCTTTGGTTGAGGGCATTTAGGTTGTTTCCAGGTTCTGGCTATGACAAACAATGATGCTATGAACATAGTTGAGCACATGTCCTTTTGGCACAGTTGAGCATTCTTTGTTTATATACTCAAAAGTGGTATTTCTGGGGAAAGACTCTATTTTAAAAAAGAAAAAAATAGATAATTTTTGTCTGTAGTAGGCAAAAAATAGTAGAAAAGGATATTTTTCAATAAATGGTATTTGGACAAATTTTCCCCCATAGTAAAAAAAAGTAAATCCCTTTCAAGTCATTAATATAAACAAATTCAGCTATTTAAAGAGAAAAACCTAAGATGGGCCATGGTGGCACATGCCTTAATCACAGCACTTGGGAGGTAGAGGCAGATGGGTCTCTGAGTTTGAGGCCAGCCTGGTCTATAGAGAGAGTTCCAGAATAGCCAAGGCTACACAGAGGAAACTCTGTCTTGAAAAACAAAAACACTGAACTACAACAGCAAAAACAAACAAGAAAAAATTTTCATATAGTTTTAAAAGATGACTTAATATTTTTATTAAATTTATTTTTCATTTTATGTGTACGAGTGTTTTACCTGCATGCCTGTCTATGCACCCGGTGTGTGCAGCGCCCATGGAGGACAGAAGAAGGCTCTGGATCCTTTAGAACTGGAGTTCCCTGTGGTTGAGAGTCAGCATGTGGACTCTGGGAACCAAACTCTCATCCTCTGCAAGATCAGTGAGCGCCTTAACCACTGAGCCATCTCTCTGACCCCTCTGTGTGGGTTTTAAACTTTTCCTTTTGCAGTAATTTTATATTAACAAGACACTATAAACTATGCCCAAGAGGTCCTCTGTACCCCATCCAAGCTTCGTTCTGATGGGGTAGCTAACAGAGGTTTCTGACAGCGCCATGTGGGCATGCAGCACACGAGCTCTGTCACAGGAATTGCACAGCCACCCTCCTGTTGCCATCGCAACCAAGCCTACCCTCTTTAACTGTCCCTAATTCCCAGCAGCCACGGATGTGCTCCCTCTATACTTCTGTTATTTTGAGAAATCTACACTAAATTTCAGGTGCCAAATATTCTTTGATCATTTACAGAAGCATAACTGATTTTCATAAGCTCATAAATCAACTCATTGAATGGAGGAGTTGTCTTTATCCTGGTAAATTCCTTGGTGTTTTCTACATAGGCTATCATGTAAAGAGAGATGGCTTCTCCCCCTTTTCAGTCTGTGGGATTTTGTTTTCAGGGGTGCTGGGTGGGATTTGTGAGGTACTTTTCTTCTGTGACTGATAAACACAACTAGCTAGACTATCATGGTCTGCTATCAAACATTTTTTTTTCTTAGAGAAAAAGTTTGACTTTGTAATCCAGGCTGTCCTGGAACTCAGTAGCTTAGGCCTGTTTTAGGTCTCTGTAAATTCCCTTGCCTCAGCTTTCTGAGTCCAGGGGTTGCAGGTGTGAACCACCATGCTCATATTTTTAAAAATCTATTTTTGAAAAATTTAGATGAGAATTAAGAAAACACATTCATGACGTCAGAGTAGAGAAAGGTTTCTCCAATAAGACACACAGAATAGAGAGAATGATACATTTTTGGCTACATTAAAAGGAGTAATGTTTGTTCAACAAAACGTAAATTTTTGAAGATAAAAGCAACAAACTGAAATATTTACAATGTATGGAACAAAGTTGGCAATCTTGACTGCATAAAAGAATCCCACGTTAAGCATGGTGTGCATGTGGTCAGTGGCGTCAGCACTCAGGAGGGGCATGAGGAGGCCATCCTGCCAAGACAGACTGGAAATGTAAGCTCTTTGAGTCAGTATGATAGCAATAACAGCGTCTATGTGGACGTCTTGACAAATGACCCAACTGCTTCACAAAAGAGGAACTACAGTGACCACGGAGAGGTTCCCGAGGGCACAGGAGGATGCTTACAGAGCTCACCAGGTTTCAGGGTGTAGGAGCGGCACCCAGGGCACTCGTAGCCGGGCTGTATTTAGGAACCTTGCCAGGTTGCTACTGCTGGAGTACCAAGATCAGGGACGGACAAAAAAGCAGGAATGGGGAAAGCTGGCCTCCACTACTGCTTTTAGGGTCCCAGGCTGTGTCTAGTCTACCAAGAACAAAGGAAAACCCCTGTTAGACAGAGCTAAGGCATCCCAGGACCCACGGCAACGCTGATGCTCCTTCCTCCTAGGGTTACTACCTCCAATCGTGTAGCGTGCAAGGTGCTGTATGACTCCAGGTTGCTCTTCCGCCATCGCCTGTATGCTGACCTGGAGACCATTCTGTACCATGTACATTTGTTCAGGCCCGTGTCGCTGCTCCTGCGGTACCCAGCGGTCTATGTTCGTGGGGCTGTGCCACGCATGGCCTTTCAGGCACTGACCAGGTGAGTGTGGATGGGACAGGAGGGGCATCCCACTCTCTGGAGGTCAGGTGGGCCATGGGGCAGTAGACAAGAATGACCTGAATTTCCCAGGCTCCAGGAGAAACAGATGCAGGTTCTCCTGAGATGTATGAGCACATGTTAGCAGGAAGAAGACGGGCCTCTAGACTGAGCAGCTCTGCTCCATCTGCTCCCCTGGGAACATTCTAGAAGGATCTGAGGAGGGAGCAGCCAAAGCATAATTTTCAGTGAGAACCTGGAATGTGGACCGCAACATCAGCTACAACCTTTCCTCTGACCTGATGCTTTCCTTGGCTTCTGTCCTGAACCCGGTCCCATACTCCCTCTCTACTGCTGAGAAAACCTGTTGCAGAGTCAGCTCTTGCATTAAGTGTCCATTTGCTATGCCCTCCTGTTGGTCTTGCCTTTGCTCCAGGTGTCCTGAGGTTTCACCATCCCTCTGCAGACCAGCTTTGGCTGAGAGGTGCTGGAACTTGGCAAGATCCCAGTTCAGAAGGAAATGGGCATGAGGATCAAGTGACAAGGGGTGCTGCATGGGCAGTTCATGATGCAGGGGTGCTGCACCGGCAGTCCAGTGATATGGGGTGCCATGTGTGCAGTCGAGTGATGTGGGGGTGCTGCATGGGCAATCCAGTGATGCGGGGTGCTATGCGGGCAGTCCAGTGATGCAGGGGTGCTGTGTGGGCAGTCCATGATACAGGGTGTTTCGTGGGCAGTCCAGTGATGTGGAGTGCTGCATGGGCAGTCTGGTGATGCGGGGTGCCGTGTGGGTAGTCCAGTGATATGGGGTGCTGCGTGAGCAGTCCATGATGCAGGGTGGTGTGTGGGTGATCCAGTAATGCGGAGTGCTATGTGGGCAGTCCAGTGATGCGGGGTGATGTGTGGGTAGTCCTTGTGCATCCCTTGGGGCCCAAAAGAGCAGTAGGGCATCAGGGAAGGCAAGACTGATCTTGAGGAGTCCTTGACCGTTACACTGACAGCCTCTCCCAAGCATGGGGTAGGCTGTAATCCCTATCTTCTTATTTTCAGGAAGATCTGACCTCAGCTAGTGCTGTTGAATTAGCAAAGCAGAAGAAGGGGAGTAAGGGGCTGAGGGAGTACAAATTCAGGAGGAAGAGCAGAGGGACTGGAACTCAGGACAGAGGAGACTTTCACCTTCTTCCTTCAGTTAGGGAAGAGTCTGTGATGCTCCAGTATTTGGTATTAGTTGCAAAGGCGAGAGTGTTTATTTTGGTAGGTGATGCAATAAAGTTGGGGACTCTATAGTGGAGGGAACCACTGTTCACAAAATACTTTTTGTATTAGGTGCTTGTGGTGGTTAATTTTTTTTTTTTTTGAGACAGGGTGTCTCTATGTGGTCCTAGCTGTCATCCTGGAACTCACTATGTTAGACCAGTCTGGCTTCAAACTCACAAAGATCCGTTTGTTTCTGCCTTTCAAGTGCTAGGATTAAAGGTGTTTGCCATGTGATGGTTGATGTTAATTATCAACTTGATGAACTTTAGAATCACTGTGGAAACACATCTCTGGGTGTGCCTAGTTAGGTGTTTTCAGATAGGTTAGCTGATCATGGATGACATGCCCTGAATGTGGCCTGTACCACCTCATGGGCTGTGGGCTCAGAATGGATAGAGAGGAGAAAGGTACTGTTGTCAGAGTTTTCTGTCCTGCCTGATCCCACAGCTGTTCAGCCCCAAGGAAACACACAGCGGTCTACATTAATTATAAACTGGTTGGCCTTTACCTCAGGTTTATTAATTCTTACATCTTAAATTAGCCCATCATTCTTGTCTGTGTTAGCCACATGGCTTGGTACCTTTTATGGGTGAGGTGTTCTCATCTTGCTTCCTTTGTGTCTGGCTTCTTCTGTGTTGACTGCAGACTGAGACTTTCCTCTTCCCAGAATTTTCCTGTTCTGGTCATTCTGCCTATACTTCCTGCCTGGCTACTGGCCAATCAGCATTTTATTAAAATACAAGTGAAAAATCTTTACAAAGTACAAGACCATTGTCCCACAGTACCCCCCCCCCCGCTTCTTCAAAACAAGAACTCTGAATTGAATCTCTTTGTTTAGCTTTTTTCCTGACCATTATCCATAACAACTTACAACTAACATTCTAAACAAAGACAAACATCCATAATCCAGTTTTTGGGAACGTGGGTATAGTTTTCTAGGCTACTTCCTGCTGATTGGGGGTGCTGATAATCTTATGGGGACCTATAGAAAATTGAGAATTATGATCAAGTCCTGGCTGGAGTATTCTGTGAGTATTCAGCCAGCAGTCTTGAAACTGTTCTGGATGTAGAATTCAGAGGAAACTACAGCAGAGGTGTTCTGAAATGTTGGATCATCTGGAACATCCATTCATAACAGAGATTCTTTATGGGGGGGTCTTTCTTGATCAAACCTGATTTTTCTTAACCCAGAATGAATCTTCTCATTTCTGTGGAAACAAAAATAAAAACTCTTCTCCAAAGTAACATATCTTTTGACTTAAATTTTGAAGTCAAAGCATTTTTAAAATATTGTATGTTGTATTAATCCAGCAGCATTTGTAATCAAATGTCTTTTAGCAGCTGTTGTTCCTTCCTCAGCCCTCAAACCATCTAAGGACAACACAATAATATACAGTATCCAGACTCTCTGTGTATTTTCCATCTTTATGTGGCTTTATTTTAAACTCTATTTTTTTCTTTTTAATTTTTGTGTTTTTGAGACAGGGTTTCTCTGTGTATCTCTGGATGTCCTGGCACTCACTCTGTAGACCAGGTTGTCCTTAAACTCACAGAGATCTGCCTGCCTCTGACCCCCAAGTGTTGGGATTATTATGCCATCATACCCAATTACTCTCTTTCTTTCTTTTTAAAGGACTATATCCTTTTTCTTTTCTCTCCCAAGCCTACATATATTTTAAAACACACTGTAAACCATTTAGAGGTTTTCTTTATCTGAATCTATCTTTACTGTATATCTGTCTTTTTCTGATCACATGAGACTTTAGCTAAGCAATATGGCTAGGATTAAAACTGTGGCTTTGACAGCTGGATCCATCTCACCCCTTAGCTTTCTGAGAGTCTAGCCTCATGGCGGAGGTTCTGGCTGGAGCCATATTTATTGCCAAAAGTCTATGTCATTTCAGGGTCCCTGCCACCACCAAGAAGCATGCTGTCATCTAGTCATAAACACCATTTAAGTGTTTGCTGGCTGGTCCTTTTAAAACAACTGCAAGGTTTTTGCAGCTAAAGCTGAGTCGGAAAATCTCTCTTAAATGAGACACTCTTGCCTGTAGCAAACAGCCCACCAGAGAAAATACTGCCACCAAGAAGCTGTGCTTAACTCTGTTCTTTTGTGTCTAGAATTACTTCCCAAACTCTCTCAGGTTTTAAGTGGATTTAGCTGTTGACATTGACACCATTTGTTGGCAGTTTTTTTTTATCCTGCCTGATCCCTCAGCCATTCAGTCCCCAAAGAAACACACAGAGGTCTACATTAATTATAAATTGGTTGGCCTTTACCTCAGATTTCTTATTAACTCTTACATCTTAAATTAGCCCATCTTTCTTGTCTGTGTTAGCCACATGGCTTGGTACCTTTTATCAGTGAGGTGTTCTCATCTTGCTTCCTCTGTGTCTGGCTTCTTCTGTGTTGATGGCAGACTGAGACTTTCTTCTTCTGAGAATTCTCCTCTTCTGGTTGCCCTGCCTATACATGCTGCCTAGTCATCCCATCTATACTTCCTGCCTGGCTACTGGCCTATTAGCATTTTATTAAAATACAAGTGAAAAATCTTTACAAAGTACAAGATCGTTGTCCCACAGCAAGGTACCAACATTTCTTATTCTCTGCTTCCTGACTGTGGGCATGATGTGGCCAGTTTCCTTGCCATGATGAACTGTATCCCTTCGAAGTGTAAGACAAAGAAACTGTTCTTCCCTGAAGTTAAGTCTCGTCAAGAGCTGACTACAGCAATGGAGAAAGTAACTGACACGGAAAATCCATACTGAGAGGTGAGGCTGTTGCTGTGGTAAACATGGTTCACACGTCCTTGTAACTGGTTCAAGAGAAGAATGTGGAAGGGCTTGGAGCTGTGGCTGGAGAACTACAGAATGCCCTAAGCAGAGATTAATGAGCCAATGTAGTAGGAATTTGGAAGTCCAGAAAGCTGGGAGAACCGCTGATGGTCCAGGCCTGGCTGGTGAGGTCTCAGAGAGAGAGAGAGAAGTGCTCTAGTGTACTAGAGGGAATTTGGATTATATTTAGGCAAAACATCTGGTGGGATTCCTGCGAGGTTGAATTAAAAAAGTGATGGGCTACTTTGATTGACAGAGGAAAACCCAGGATGGGATGGCATCCAGGTTGTGCTATGGTTACTGCTTCCGTTCTGATTTGGGTCAACACTGAGAGAGAGCAACAAGCTGGGCAGAAAGATGAAAACGTGGTGTTTGGTATGGGGAAGGGACTGGCAGGCAGGGTGGCTGAGAAAACAGCTGTAATTATTAAAGATTAGCCCCATTACAGAGAAACCCTGTGTTCAATAGGAAAGGTGCCAGAGGGGCAGACCCAACCCCTAGAAGGTCCATCTTGTGAAAATGTAGAGCTGTTTGAAAGGAGGAGGCCTAGTCTGAGAATACCACTGAAGTGCTATTCAGGGTAGTGTTGCCCACCAGCCTCAGCAAATAGAGGCCAATGCAGCTGTGGTCCAAGTGGTCCAGGCTACATCTTGAATTGATAGTAGAACTTGGCAGCAGAACTTGGTTTTGCAGGCACTAAGGATACAAGAGTAACAGAGTCATGGAGGCTTGTGCTAAGATTCTTGAAGGCCAGCAAGGCCAGAAAGTATGTGGCAGGGTTGGAGTTCCTGCAAGCACATCCTGAAAGGCCACCTCATGAAGCTGTGAAGGTGAGGTCTGAGTTTCGGTGGAGATCTTGGGATGTTGAGGATGTCAAGACCACGGTATAGCCGCTAGGAAAGCTCTCTGTGCAGAGTGGACTCTATCCAAGAACGCTAATGTGCTGGAGTGCAGAGTGGCCAACCTGAACTTTCATTTCTGCTGTGAAATGCAGATGGTTATGCAGGTGAGACTGAGTGGCTGGCTGTTCTTCATTTCAGGATCCACGACATCTGCCACAACAGCACCAGGCTCAGGGAGGTGATCATGAGAGATCTGCTCCCCTCCTCCTCCATGGTTAAAGACCTGAGCCAAGAGTTTGGGATACCCATTTCCCAGGAAGAACTCACAGATGCAAAACTGTTATCCGCATCTCCCCAGCCCACTCCCAAAGATGCGAACATCCAGCGTCAGACATCTACCCTCCCAGAGGAGATCCAGACCCACCAGGAGAAGTACCTGCAGTGGAGGAACAACATGCTGCTGAAGAATCAAGATCACAAGGATAGCCTTGTCCAGGTGGGCGTTCTTTCTCCCCTCCATGCTGAGGCTCCCCAATTTCCTGTAGCTTCTAGTAACCAGTAAGAGATACGGGCTACTTGCTCCTCTGGTTTGGGACACTGGGGGACAGCTCAGCACTATGAGAGACAAGGCTGAATTATGCCGGAGCATTTGCTTCCAGTCCCATTCACCTTGGCCGTCCTCCTTAAATATGAAATGGAGTGAGCTCAGGCACAGGGCATTTACCACAGTCTTAGTGTTTATCTTAGGAGAAGAACGGTGAAGGGGGTAACATCCTGCTTGAAAGGCATGAGTATCCTAAGTTGTCTAAGCAGCATAGAAAGTAAGCTGGCTTGGAGAAACCATGGAGAGGAGATAATAAAAGATGGAGAAGCTGGTAAGGTGATCAAAGATCAGTGCTCTGTGGTCTGGATGGCCAAGGATATTGCCTTTCCCAAAGTCAGCCGCAAGGCCTTGGAAACACAGATATTTAAAGTGTGACTTGAATCTGCTCATGATCTCTCTTTGTGAGGCCCCACCTCATCCCCTGCCTCTGTGCCCCACTTCTAGTCTCCGAGTTCTCCTTCTGTTCTGTGTCCTTATTTACTCGCTGGTGGTCATTTGTATCATTTCTTAACTTTTGAAATTTAAAGATATTCTAACTCTATGCCAAGACATTTTCTGCTAAATTTATGCAGTTGTTTTCTAGGAGATAACACTTAGGATTAGAATTTTTGAATGTTAGTTCTATTGCCTAGATGATATATTATTTTCCAAAATGATTATGTCAATGTAACCATCCTTATCTTGTGCAGGAAATTCCATTTTGTACATTCATGCTATGTGCTACAAGTTGGATTTAGAGACATTTAATTTCTGATGTTCAGCAGTTTTTAAGAGAGGCTTTAACTTTCACTATTTACTGACGAAGCCTGATATGTCTTCAGATATTTTTTGATTATTTTGCCCATATTTGGGCAATATTTTATCTTGAAATCCTCAAAAACAACCCAGTAGCATTAATTTTTTTTGTGTGTGTGTGTGCAAGACAAGATCTCTCTGTGTTGCCTTGGCTACCCTGGAACTCAGTCTGTAGACCAGGTTGGCCTTGAACTCACAGAGATCCACCTGCCTCTGCCTCCTGAGTGCTGGGATTAAAGGCATGTGCCACCACTGCCCAGCTAGTAGCATTAAATTTTAAATTTCGATTTTAATATTTTTGAAGCAGGATTAACTATGTAGCCCTGACTGTCCTAGAACTCCCTATGTAGACCAGGTTGGCCCCTAGCTCACATAGATTCACCTGCCTCTGCCCCCCAAGTGCTGGGATTGGAGGTGTGCGCCACCACAGTTGGCTCCTCTTCACTCTTTCAAGGCATCTTTAGCATAGTTATTTTTAAATTTAGTAATTTTTTGCATTTTCTCATATTGTTTTTGCTTTATTTCAGAAACCTTTTCCTACTCCAAGATCATAAATCTATATTCTTCTTTGAAATGTTTGTTTGTTTTGAAGTTGGGGGTGTCTTAGAGTCTTGTATATGATAGGCAAGGACTCTACCACTGAACTGTATTCATAATCCTGATTCAGATACTGTATTTTAAGTTAAATTGAGCTAGGATTTTTTTTCTTTGAGGTAGGTTCTTGCTATACAGTCTGGCTGACTTGACACCTACTGTTTAGTTGGGGCTAGCCTTTAACTTAGGGGCCATACTTCTGCCTTTGCCTACTGACTATGGGGTTACAGGTTGGGTCACCACGCTCAGCTGGGGTTTATTCCTGCATGAGGGTAGAATCTGCTCTCTTTTCCCCCATGGATGATGAGTGGCCCAGTGTTCTTAGCCTATAGTTACCCCCGGTGATTTGTATACAATCAAATCAGTCTGACCAAGTAACCACTTGTTGTGGGAGCAGCAGGTTGCATTCCTGCCACCCCAGCTCCTGGTCGCCCGGCTAGCTCAGTCGGTAGAGCATGAGACTCTTAATCTCAGGGTCGTGGGTTAGAGCCCCACTTTGGGCGCCATTATATTGTGGGAGCAGCGGGTTGCATTCCTGCCTCCCCAGCTCCTGGTCGCCTGGCTAGCTTATGCCCCGAAATAACAACACACAAACTGTATTCTTTTAAACACTGCTTGGCCCATTAACTCTAGCCCTTACAGGCTAATTCTCATATCCCGATCAACCCATCTCTAATAATCTGTGTAGCATCAGTCTTACTGGGAAAGATTCAGCATGTCAGACCTGGCAGCTTGCTTCATCGCATGTGCCCCCGAGAACTGAGCTATGGCGTCTATCTGAGGCGTCTTACCTCACTTCCTCTTCCTCCCAGCATTCTGTTCTGTTTACTCCTCCCACCTATGTTTTAACCTATGAGGCCAAGCAGTTTCTTTATTACTTAACCAATGACCTTCCTCCATCAGCCACTGGACCACTTCATGGTGGTTGGGATCATTATTGAAGTCACACATATACCGTTATTAGTCTCTTCACAAAGCCAGCAATTTGCTTCCTTGGTTTCCATATAATATATTTCTTTGATATCTGATTGTAATTTTTACAATATTTGGGCTTAATTTCTTTTTCTGAATTCAGATGGAAGTTTAGATGATTGGTATTTTATGAAATCATCTTTATGTAATTGCATAAAAAATGTACTGTAAACACCAAGCATGTCTCATGATTTTTTTGATTATCTATTTTCTTAATCTATATCTATTTATTTGTTCATTTGTTTATTTATTCTGCATGTATGTGTACATGCATGTGTGTGTGTGTGAGTGTGTGTGTATGTGTATGCACACATGGGAATGCACTTTATCGAGGTCAGAGGGCAACTTTTTGGAGTTGATTTTCTCCTTCCACCATGTGGGTTCTTGGAATTCAACTCAGGTCATCAGTCTTGGCCGCAGGTTATTTTATCCACTGAGCCATCTTGCCTGCTCTGCTCCAGTGGCTTATAAAGTTTATTATTTTTATTTATTTATTTGTGTGTGTGTGTGTGTGTGTGTGTGTGTGAGAGAGAGAGAGAGAGAGAGAGAGAGAGAGAGAGAGAGAGAGAGAGAGAAAGAGAGAGAGAGAGAGTGGGGGATCAGAAGAGGACATCAGGTCTCTTATTGGTGGAGTTCCATGAAGATGTGTGCTGTGAGATAATGCTCTTGTACACTGCAAAGATTTGTCACTTGTATTGGTTTAATAAAATGCTGATTGGCCAGTTGCCAGGCAGGAAGTATAGGTGGGGAAACCAGACTAGGAGAATTCTGGGAAAAGGAAAGGCAGAGATGCAGTCACCAGACAGATGCAGAAGGAGCAAGATGAGAATGCCTTATTGAGAAAAGGTACCAAACCACATGGCTAAACACAGATAAGAATTATGGGTTAATTTAAGTTATAAGAGCTAGTTAATAATAAATCTGAACTAACAGGCCAAACAATTATAATTTATATAAGCCTCTGTGTTTCTTTGGGACTGAACAACTGTAAGACCAGTCAGTACAGAAACGTCCGTCTACAGATGGGTGCTAAAACCAGACTCAGGTCCTCTGGGAGAGCAGCAAGAACTCTTGATGGCTGAGCCATCTCTCCAGCACAGAACATATATTAGTTTTATTTCATGTGTATGGGTTTTGCCTGCAAGTATGTTTGTGCACGGTGACTTGGTAGCTGAGGAGGCCAGAAGAGGGCATTGGATCTCCTGGAACTGGAGTAGAGATTGTTGTGTGGGCACTGGAATAAAATCCAGGTCCTCTGGAAGAGCAACGAGTGCTCTTGACCTCTGAGCTCTCTCTCCAGCCTCTCAAAATATTTTTGTAATTTGTGTTTTTCCATATATTCTGGCTATTGGGTTCAACCTTAATTTAACTGATATAAGTGAGTATATTTTGTGTCATTTTCACTGTTGAGACTGGCTTCACAGGTCAGTCTCTTGGCTTTGGGGCATGCTCCAGTGTCTGTGAAAACAACGTGTGTCCTACAGTTACTTATCAACTGCTATGCATGTGTCTGATATGGCAGCTTGGTAATTTGTCAGGTTCCCTACATCCCTACATCTGCTTTTTTTCAAAAGCAGAGTCATAGTTTATTAAAATGGATTTTTAATACAGATTTAAGTAGGGGGCATTAGTGAGCACACAGGGAAAGAGCCAGACATACCCAAGTGTGGGCAAAAGCTTCTCAAGGCAGTTACCTAATTATTTATTTTTATTTTTTGTTTTTTCAAGACAGGTTTTCTCTGTGTAGCCTTGACTGTCCTAGAACTCACTCTGTAGACCAGACTGGCCTCAAACTCAGAGATCCACCTGCCTCTGCCTCCTGAGTGCTGGGATTAAAGGCATGTGCCACCGTGCCTGGTATTATTGCTATTTTTTTCAGTGCTAGAGGCTGAATTCAGGGCAGCATACATGCTAGGCAATTGCTCTATTGCTGAGCCATGCTCCCAGCCAATCTTTGAAATCCAGGTTTTGTTTTAGTTAGTTACTAGGAAAAGTCCCGATAAAATTCATTATAACTATGAGTTTATTTATCTATTTTTTGTTAGGTATCTCTCCTGGTTTTATTTTTAATATATACAAATTTAGAACTATCTTTTATCTTCTTGATGTGTTATTCATTGCACTGATAATTTAGAAGGCACCAGAGTGGAAACCGAGGCTCATGCTGTCATTTCTAAGGCTCACAGGGAACTGAGGTGTGGGCAGCCATTTTTGCTAGATCACACAATTGGAAGTAGATATGAAGTGTTGTTCATATTACTCACTGAAATTAAAAACAAAATGCACTTTACAAATTCAGTGCTATCTTATCTTCTTGATTTGTTCATTGTATAACTACTATAAGACACTTTTATCTTTGATTATATTTTTAGAAGTAAACATTAAACAAAATATACAAATCTGGGCTGGTGAGATGGCTCAGTGGGTAAAAAAAGCCTGATACTGAGTTCTGTCCTGGAGCCCAAGGTAAAAGGAGAGGATCAGCTCCCAGAAGCTGTCCTCTGACCTCCATACGTGTCCTCTGACCTCCA